AGTTAAGGACACAATTAGAAAAGATTGTTATTGCAGGAAGCCATAATTGAAGACATCAGAAATAAATACAAAAACACCCGGAAGGAACGAGAGAAACAAATAATTGCTAAAACAACAATAGGAAAGATTATAAAGAAATACAGGCTGCAGAGGGATGCACAGAAAATTCTTGGCTAAGTGAGCAACAGATTACCTGCTGAATGCAAAGCAAAAGTAAAAGCTTTCTATTTGAGAGATGACGTCAGCCGGATGACAACGGGACGAAAACAAACTGTCACTCAAAAGAAGACGAAAAATCAAAAAGGTTTGCTAACTGACACGATGAAAAATCTGCACCAGAAATTCCTTTCTGAGCATCAACATCGGGTCTCTTACTCGTGTTTCTGCACCTTGAGACCATTTTGGGTTGTGGTGCCAACAGAAGCTGATCGAGAAACCTGTCAGTGTAAAACTCATGAGAACTTACAGTTCATGGCCAACACTCTAAATAGCCAAGGCATGTCAGCTACAAAAAATATTGAGGAAATGGTAGATGTGCAATCCATGTGCAATCCAAAATCCAAACTCTGTGCATACGGCGAGTGTAAAGACTGTGTTTACACAACACATAAAATGCTGAGAGCTCCTGAAAACATAGAGGTAGGTATTACCCAGTGGTCTTTGGAAGCCAACATCCATAATGGAGAGGAGCCAGGGAAAAGGTCAACAATCACTGTTAAGAAAAATGTGATGACAACAGAGGATGGACTTGCATGTGACTTTCATGACCGACTGTTCAGATTTAGAAGGCACATATTTAACATTCGGTGGCAGTATGGAGCCTATAGACAACTAAGGGAAAACTTGAGGAGCAATGAATGTCTAATTCATGTAGATTTCAGTGAAACTTACTCCTGTAAGTACTCTAAGGAAATTCAATCTGTCCATTTTGGAGGTTCCCACCAGCAAGCAACCCTGCACACTGGAGTGCTTTACACAGCAGCTGAACTGTCTCCAGTGACTTTCACCACCATTTCACCTTCCAGACGCCACGATCCCCCAGCCATCTGGGCCCATCTTGACCCTATTTTGGACATGGTGAGGGAGAGACACCCTGATATCAATCGCCTGCATGTTTTCAGTGACGGCCCAGCAACTCAGTACAAACAGAAGGGTAACTTTTACCTACTATCTCAAGAGCCGTTCAAAAAAGGCTTTCAAGCCGTCAGCTGGAACTTTTTTGAGGCCAGCCATGGAAAGGGTGCTCCAGATGGTGTTGGGGGTACCCTTAAAAGATCTGCTGACAGAATTGTCAAACATGGAGAAGATATCCCCAATGCGGAAACCATGTTCCACCAGTTAAAAAAGTCGGGCACTTCAGTGGAGCTTTTTCTCGTGGGAGAAGAAGAAGTTGAGAAAAAAGGGCAGGAAATGTTGGATGGGCCGCAGCTTGTGCCTGTGAAAGGAACTATGAAAATACACCAAGTAATTTGCCTCTCTCCAGGGATTATCAAATACAGGGACATAACCTGTCTTTGCCAGGCTGACAAGGGCAAACTGGACTGTCCGTGCTATGGGCTAAAGGAGGTGAGCTTGGTAGAAGAGCCGATTCAAGAATGCACCAGAGAACCAACCCGGCCTGAGGTCCTCACTAAAGAAGAAATTGGGCAGTGGTGCATCATTAAGTATGATGGTGAACCCTTTCCAGGAATCATCCTGGAGGTGGAAGAAGACCTGAAGATAAAGTGTATGCATAGGAATGGCATTAACAAATTTTAATGGCCCAGTCCACGAGAAGACGTAAGTTGGTACAGAGATGACCAGATTGTATGCCTCATTACAGAGCTGCAACCAATCAATAAGAGGTCTGTCCAGCTGGAAAAGTCTGTTTGGAGTTTCTTAGAGAAGCACCTGGGTTGCTGGCTAATGGAATAGATGGTTGATGTATAGATGGAGAATGTTGGTACTACATATGTATTAACTGTTGAATATGTTCATGAATATTGTATTGGGTGGACTTTTATGGTTGAAGTTTGGAGTATGTGTGTATTTGTCAGGGCCTGGGGGATGCAGGGCGGGTGGGCTTTTATTGTTAATTATAATAATTCTTGTTAGTAATCTTGGTAAAATGAAATGTAATTAAATAATATATAATATAACATTTTAACACCATTAATTAAATGTAATGTTTAAGGATTTATGTTCTTAATTAAATATGTTATTGTATTCACTGATGTGAAGTCCCCCCTATTACGTCCTGTTTCTCTTGTGTCCACCCTGTTACCTGTGTTTCTTTTTATAATAATTAAATGAAATGAACAAATATGACCCATGTCTTTGTAGTCCTTTGCAGGGAATGATTTGACCAAATTAATTTACTAAAACATGCAGCCACATTCCAATTAAATTATGTTTTATTCTAAAACAAATGGGTTGAACTTACATTGTGCCTCAAAATACAACAAGTATTTTTCTAAATAATGCTCTTTTTTTTTTAAATGTTTGTTAAATTATTTTTGAGAGGTTAAATAAGGAACATTTCAGCTGTTAGATAATTAACATTTATAATGATTGTGTAGTCAAAACACTTTTTAATAGACATGAGAATGTCTGTAACAGGGTGGAAGTTTTGCCTCGTTTGCATCCGATTATTAGGTCACAATCATTTAAACATAATATCCTGAGCTTGACCAAAACATTTTTCTTATACTTTAACAAGCCATCATTCAGATTAAATTAAAAAAAACATGGAAAATTATGTTTTTTTATTTTTTATTAACCTAGCTGAAATGGCACCGAATGCTAGGAATGACTCATCTGTTCAGAAACTAGACAAAAGTTAAACAAGTACAAACCACAGACTGCCTGTGTCATGGCGAATACAGTCGCTGGTTTATTTATGTCTGTATAGGCCGTTGTTGTGAGTGTGGACGGTCGGAGCATATATAACGTTAGCTTAGCCAAGCTACATTTAGAAAACACGTATTTTAAAAGGGTTTTCGCCTGCCGTCTGTCTGCAGACTTGTCAAAGCATTAATTCATGGTTTTTTACTAACCGGTATCAGTATGTTGTTACTTCGGCATTATTTTGAAACGTGTATTACAATGAAATCACGGTCAAATATGTTCATCTTGTTGTAGTTGTAGCCCCCTTGCCAGCGATTCTCCCTCTAGTTTAGCATACTCAGCCCGGTTGTTCCTGGCCCTAGAACCACGATTTAGTCGGGCCAGAAAAAAGGTGAAAAAGTAGCCCCGGGCCAAAACTAGGCCAAGTGGAAACGCAACCAAAAACGGGCCCCGCACGGCTCGGCACCAGTGGCGGCGCTAGGGGGTGGCTACTTGGGCTCAAGCCCCGGATGTTTTCTGAAAAGCCCCGGATGTTTAACTTAAAAAAATATATATATATTTAAATTTAAATTTTTTTGAAAACGTCTCGGGAGTAATGTGCAGTACCGGAGTCCACCAGAGAGGCAGCCACTGTGGGACATTAGCCTGCGTACTGCGTAGCCTGCCCTGAAGAAGAAGTGATCCTTCCTAGTGCCTGACGAGTTTTAAGCTAATAGCCTACAGTTATGGATATTAGAAAGTTATTGTCATTGAAGCAGCCGGCGCCACAATCTGCAGCAGCAGCAGTATCAGCAGCTGACAACAATGTCATCACCAGCAGTCAAGAAATGGATGATGTTTCAGGTTTGTTAATCTAATGGTGATATCTGCACTCTGGCTGACTGAGTAAGAAGTGAAAAAGAGTGATGTAACGTTAATGTTATAGCTAGTAAACATGGAGTAACCACACTAAGTATACCCTTATATGTTAGTATGTATACAGAACAGGACTAAAAAGTATCCTAAGATGTAACGTTAACCCTTCATAACTCAGTCTACTTTTAAGACACTAAAATAACGTATTCCAATTTTTATTTTGTTTTCACGGGTGGAATTATACCGGCTCTCGTTTCAGTACACATAACAACAGAACTGACAGGCAACCCTCTGAATCAGACTCCGATTAGCTGTGACTGCATCCACTCAGAGTGTCCGATTCAGAAACGTGACTCTTACACTCTTTACGTCACAAACAAAGATGGTGGATGAGAATAGATCTATAAAACGATAAGCAATGCGCCAGAATCAAGGTGAGACTATCCGCATCCTTTAAAAATCTACGCACATTCGTTTCACCTTAATAAGTAAACGACTATTTGAGTGAGTTAAGGCATTAGTTTGCTTCATTAAAGGGTGTTAATGAGTGTTCTCCAGTGCCTTTTGTCCGCTTTAAGGTGTTATTAAGGTAGGGTTAATGTTGCTCTCAAAGTGCACCAGATTGATGCTTTCAACTTCAATATTTAAAAAAAAATCTTCCCGGGGGAGCATGCCCCCGGACCCCCCGAGAGGAGGCGACGACCCCCCTAAAGGATGTTCAGTCCACCCCCCACTTATAAAAAATAACACTGTACCCCTGCACCCCCCCAACCCAACGACTCCTGGGCTAAGCCCCGGATCTACAATCCTAAATCCGCCTCTGCTCGGCACGCTTAAAGCGAGCTATCCGCTGCAGTGGAAACGCGTCAGTGACAGTTAATAGGGGACTGTGATCATATTGAGGCAAATTAGAAAGTGAAACAAGGTGTAGAGTTTAAATGAGGTGAAGCACCCAGTAATGTTTTTATTTCCTTATGTTTAAATCTAATTGTTAATGTAATTAAACCCAATACTTTAATAACTTGATTTATGGTATATTAAAATGTCCTGTCTGACTTTGTCATAACAATTTCACCGTTAACAGTTGGGACATTTTTGATTCTCTTAAACTGGCGTATTTTTTCGATGCATAATGTCATGATTAATACAAATGTTTTTCATTCTCAGAAATATAAATTGTAGAGGCGTTTAAATTGTATAATACTGTTAGTTTCAATCTAACCTACTTGAAACATTTGACCCTGATTAGATTTTTGGAAAGGTAAAATAAAGGCTTTAGTTAGAATTGGAAATTAATACAAAATTTGGCAAGACGTATGTTGTTTTAAATGTATATTTTCACATTTTGGAACTACACTTAGCCTTGTTATGGAGGGTTAGAGGATAAGATTGATACAACTCTCTTAAGTACAGTGAATATGGACAACATGATTGTCATTGTTTTTTATATTCTTGTCCAAAATGTTCAAAAACCAAAGTGTAAAACAACATTTCTAGTTTTAATATGGTTATGTGTTTTATCGACTGGGACCATTAACATCCTGCAAAATACCCAGTCATACATTTGTCAAACGCATAATGTTTTTGTTATACTTTTGTACAAATACAAGATATAACTTGTATATTGGAGATTGTCCCTCTGCTTGCGGTCGTGAGCTAAGCTAACTGGCTGTAGCTTCATATTAACTGTACAGACATTAGAGCGGTGATAATCTCCTCTAACTCTCAGTAAGAAACAAAGCATAACCTCAAATGTGAAACTGATACTTCAACATACCAACACCTCACATTCTCCAGGAAATTCAAGCTGAACAATTGAGAGGTTACTTACATCACATGTAATGATTTATGGGTCATATTTTAGTACTTTATATGTCTCATCTCTTATAGTGGGCACCTGTATAACATAACACTCGACTGTCACAGACTGAGCTGTAACTTTGCCAAAATAAGGGATTGTCTTAGTTGAATGCATGTTCATTGCTAAAGGAAGTGTGTACGTGATGAAGCTACAGTTGCAAAACACATGTGAGTGTGTGTCTAAGTGAGATAGGTGAAGAGGTAGGGTCAGCAGAGATCCCAGGAAGAGAGAATCATGTCCAGGCTATAGTTGCCTGATGGGGGGGAGGTTGAGGGTCTCCAGAGCGCTGTGGTAGAGCTCTCTCAACGCTCTCAACAGATGCAGACGACAAAACATCTGGTTGAACAGATGAGGCAGCGGCTCCTGGAGAGAGAGACAGAAAGACAAGGGGAAGAGGAAATGTGTGGGTGGGTTAAAGAAAGAGAAAGAAAATGTCAGACCAACAGCAAGATTTAGAAGAAACTCATACTACATACTACTGGTAGGTTTTTTTTCAACATTGTTTGAATGTTTGTCAGTCACAATGAAATAACCAGAACATAGCACACTAATCTCTGTTCAACAGTGGGGGAACATAGACAAAAACACCTGTTTAAAATTGTTTATAAATATATAAATTAAAAATAGTAATATTCACCAAAACTCACTGACTCACATCTCCTGAGCTCATATTTCCCTTTCAGTGAATAAACACGATCATATATACTGTACAAGTACAAGACTAAGTTTATTGACGACAGTGTATAAATGATCAAAAGTAAATGTATCCTCACCCCCAGCACATGGACTCTGTTGTAGTACGAGCTGAAGTCTTTGCTGAGAGACACGAGGAATTTACAGATCTGAGGAACACAAACAAGAGTTAGAAAAACATAATGATGTATAAACAAATCAATGTATATACATAAACATAACAGCCAAGTTTGGTTTAATGCCCCTCTTTGTTTAGTGATAAATGAATCTCAATCCCCTGACCTGTTCAGTCTTAATGTTGACTCTGGCTCCTCCCCCTTCACAGTCTAACGCTTGTCCTGATTGGTCCAGCTGCTCGGAGAATGTAATGAGGTAATTGAACAGCAGAAGCCACTCGCCCTGTCAGTCAAAACACAGACAGCATGGAAGGATTAACACTGAAGTGTGTGTGAGGAAAGTGAGAAGAGTTTAACGTATTTTTAATAAAACAACATGGTACCTCCTCTTTCAGAGCAGAGAAGTCCAGCTTGGAGGTGTCAGGGATTTCTGGGTAGAGACCTGCAGGTAAACAGCCAGAAACACGACATGACAAATAGAATACGATACAATTCAACAATGCTAAATGATCAGTTTCTGTGGTTTTATGTATTTTGTTGTTATTTATTCTCCAAACTTCTGACAACATTTCTCTGTGTTGGAATTCAACAGACACTGGAATGGAATGTCTGTTGAGGTCTCTTCATTTTTTCCAGAGCTATTTTATTTTCTTAAAATGAAATAAAATACTAAAATAAACAAACCCCAAAAAATGATTGATTTATTTTATCGGGCTGCCTCTCCAACAGACCCGTTCAATTATGTTGGCACTTAATGTATAGTTTTATCTTAGTTTATCATATTACATCATCATTTATCGGTTGAGAAAAATTGGAGTCTGTAAAGTAACTCGCTGAGGAAAAAAGTGCAATAGTTGCATCTGAAATGTAGTGGGGTATAAATATAAGGTAGCAGAATACAAAAATACTAAGTAAAGTACAAAACACTCAACGAAAAACGTACTAAGTAGTAGTTGAATGACTTGGACACTTTTTTTTACCACTGGTCTTTCCCTACTGTCACAGGGATGCACTGCGTGTGTCAAATTGTCTCCAGAAAGCAACAACAGCTTTAGACTGTAGTTCTCAGACATCTTCTTGTATGATAAGAAAAGTAGATTAACTATCATTTGTCTAACATTGTAACTTCTATAGGAAGTTAGGAAATAAGACCACTGATGAAAAGACACCACTGTCCTGCATTTCTCTGTTTACCTACAGGACCAAAGTGGCAGCAAATCTTTGATGTCTCTTTTTATTAAACAGTGATAATATAGAACTAGCTCACCACATTCATTGTCTGTATTGATTTCTTTCAAATGTGTGACAGAACACTTTTACAAGAGAGCAATACATTCAGCCTGTGATTTATCCGAGCATATCACACTCCTGCTGAACTCTTATGACTCTTGCTGTGCCTTCTTCTTTTTAATTGAAATATTGATTTAAATGTGATGAAGTATGCCTTGTCTTTTTAAATTCTTAGACTAAGTCAGGGGTCTGCAACCTTTTTGACCAAAAGAGCCATTTTGCTCCTTTTTCCAAAACATTTTTTTGTCTGGAGCCGCGAAACATATTTCATAGTTTTTTATTGTTGTATCAGACAAAAACTACAGATGTTTTGCATTTATTAGGCTATTTATTACATGATATAAAACTGTTAACCTCTAATAAGAAACAAAGAACTCTTATAAGGAGAATTAAAAATAATACACAGGCCTACTTTAAAATAAATTAAACACAGCACTTGGGGAGTCCTCTGCACATTTGAAGGAAAACAAAACATTATTAAAATGGGCCCACTTTGAAATAAATAAAACATATAGCTGCACCCTAAAAAGAGTTAAAGGTAGGGTCGGTAAGAATGGAGAAACCAGCTCGAGTGCGCTAGAATTTGAAAGTACACAACCGGAACAAATATGCCTCTTCCTTCAGACTTTCTTACAGAGTCCCTCCTCCAACACACACGAACGCGCACATGACCAATGAGGGCACGAGATAAGTTTGTGCACAGATGGAAGGCTGACAGGCAGGTAGGCCATCCAGTTATTTTAGCCTGGCCGGCTCAGATGATTGGTCGTGCTTTTTACAGCGCTACGGCTTCCAGAGATACATTTTTGTATGTATTTATTGTCAAAGCATTTAATATATTCATTGCTATCGGGACGTTAAGAGCATTCCATGGAATATAACAAAAAGTGTTTTCTGAAATAAATTACATACCCCATTGAATTATGACTGTAGATCGTCAGCTGTCTTCCTCTCCCTTGTTGTTCCTTGATACGTAAAGGCTGCACCACCGTTGACAACTTCTCTCTACATATCAAACATACCGGTAAACCAGCATCGTTTGCTGTGAAAGCAGATAACTCTGTCCACACAGAATTAAATCCTGTGTTCCTCCGGTACTTTTCTTTGATTTATCCATAGTTCGCTCATCGAGCCGGGGGTCAGGTTATTCGCCTCCAAGAAAAGGCGCTCGCGCGGGACCGTAGCAGGATGTGACGCATATTTTAGTTGACCTAATTAAAACCGTTTTGTTTTTTATTTATGTGTCGCCGTATCACCTCAAAATACAAGATACGAAACATTTTCAACCATGCAACAAAATATAAATAGTCCTACAAATACTTTTATTTTATTTCCTTCTTATTTTTGTGTAAGCTCAAGGGAGCCAGAGCAGAGGGCTTAAAGGGCCGCATGCGGCCCGTGGGCCGCGGGTTGCCGACCCCTGGACTAAGTGAATGCTGCCAGGCCGCAGCAGTCTGAGTTAGAGGATTGTCACGTTGTTGACCAGAGGAATGAAACATGAATCTCTTGCATAACTCACCCTTCTCCACCCCTCTCTCGTAGCTGTCGAACAGAGTGTGCAGTCTGGCACAGTTATACATCACAAACACTCCTCCTCTCGGCCCTTTGGTGGACACGCCCCCTTCCCTCTGGACGTCCAGTGTCACCTAAACAGACAGCTGTCAATCATTCTGGCTCCACTTATAAAAAATCAGAGCACATTGTCATCAGTGACCTTATTCTAATGAACCAATATGGCACTTTTTGACAAATACACATCAATTAAATGCATGGTCTGATGTTAGCACCCATCATTGGAGGTGGCACATAAAAGAGAATAACTTAGTGCGAGTGAATGTGTGTTTTTCCTGTAAATACGTGGATAACATTGAATGACTACATTTTTCACAACCACACAGCTGATGATGACTCACAGGACTGGTGTGGACCGTTGACAGCAGCTCAAATCTGACGGTGGCAGAGGTCATGACCCTGATGATGTCATCCCACGTCTGACCTACAAGAGGACAAAAAGGAGGAGGTTGTATTTCACTGCAGGACACTCATTTCATATTCATCATCTGTCAGTTCAATGTGATAACTGAGGAGCATATGATTAAAAATGTCCCTCATGCAGGAAGCGATAACATTTCCTCTTATTTTTGATCATGTCTTAGGTAAAGTTTTTTAACATTGTTTATTTTGTGTTTTAGAGTTATTATAATGATCAGATTATTAAAGTATTTTCCTCACGTACGCCTCTAATTTGTGTTCAAGTAGGATTGATCTATTAGCTCATCATGGTGAGAGTAGACTTGTATAGTTAAGGACATTTTGTGTATCTGGAGTCGACTTCTCTCTCTCAACAGAAGATATAAGAGACATTTAGGAGAAAGTTGCTTCTGAGGCACATTACAAAGAGGATGTACATAAATACGCACCTTCTACTTGATCTCCATACTTCATCTCTGAGGCCTCCTTCATCTGCCCTCTTCTCAGCCTGCAGGAGAGGAAACCAAGGCGCTTTTTAGACACGTACCCAGACAGCTGGGCTAAAATGACTATGTGATATCACAGAGATCTCTTAAAGCCCTATTAACACCAACGAGTGTGCTTTTAATTTACTTTAACTAGAAGTGCAATGTCACAGTGCAGACGAGATCCTAGTGAGAGTGTTTGGTGATGATAAACCTCTGTCTACTGGAGAGCATAACAGGGAGAGAGGAGGCGGACATATAGAAGGAGACAGAAACTTTGAGAATACACAAGAGAGGAGGCAGACAGTGAGATGTGACTTACTGCAGATACTGTGCAGCGGTGAGGTGAGAGCCAGGAGTCTTCACCGGCCCACACACCAGATGTCTCTGCAGACACAGAGAGAAGAGCAGGTAAAGATAGGAACACAAGGTAATACATGATGTGCGTGTGTGTGTGGTTACCTGTGTGTGTGTCGCTCCACTGGCTCTCCACAGCACTGCTATCTGCTGCTGGCGGAACTCATCCTGACAGGAAGTCACATGTAACACTGTTGCCATGGCTACCTATAGAAGAGGAAGCAAGGGCATATGAATCAATGCTTTGTTTTATGTCATTTTTAATGAGAACATTTTTTGAAACTGCATAGTGTGTGTGTCTTACTGTGCAGTCGGCAGTGGCTCGGTCCAGCTGCGCCAGGTGGGAAACACTGTCTCTGTGAACTGGAACAGATACACAAACATGTCCTACCAGTTAACATTACATGCCAACTATCTGTTCAGCTACTCTTCTATTAAAGGCATGGTAACACTGCTAATGGTTTGAAGGAAATAGTTAAGCATTTTGTGAATAACACTAATTAAAGTTCTATCATAGTTGAGGGACTTAACTCATATTTGTATTTTAAATGTTTACGGTGGAGTTTTGACCTCTTGGAGTGCCAAGTAGTGGTTAAATGTTGGTTGTTAAAGGACCCATTAAGAGGACCCATCTTGATGACGTGTTAAACTGTTCTGCTAGTATTTCACACAGTTCCACTGATTGATAGGTGGCAGTAATGCTCCAATATACACAGTACAAGAAAAACACTTGCTCTTATTGCCATTTGGTTATTAAAAGTGATTGTAACATCATAGGAAGTAGGAAACTACTATGGGGACCTTTAAGTATAGCGTTGGAAACAACTAGCTTAGCTCAGCATAAAGACTTGAAGCAGTGGGAGCAGTTAGCCTGGCTTTACCCAAAGGTAACAACAAGCTCATGAATAAATATGTCATATCTTGTTTGTTGAAAACATGTCTTTGAGGCCTCACCTGTGCAGGTACCGATGCTGGGGTCGTATCCCAGCAGCCCCTCCTCCTGGAACACGCGTTTCAGGTTAACCCTGAGGCCTCCCTCATTCTCGCCTTCCTCTGCCTTCCTCCCTCCTCCTCCTCCGCCACCGCCACCGCCTCCTCCTCCTCCGCCTCCTCCTCTGCTGGTTCTCCTGCCTCTTTCTGTTTCCCTCTCTTTGTATGGGGAGTTCTCCAGCGCCTCCTGAATCTTCTCCTCCCGCTCCTCATTGGTCCAGTTGGCTGGAGCTGTCGGCCAATCGATGCCCAGGGCTCGGAGAAAGGTGATGATGTCGCTGTCTTCAGGAAGCGTGGGGCAGTAAGACACTGCCAATCTGGAACAGGTAAAGAGGTTTTTAGTGATTAAAGTGGGGTTTCCTTCTATGGCTGATAATTAGACTTATATTTTATACACAGATGATGGAACAATTCATTTGACTGATGAACATTAATAAGTAAGAAAAGAGTGAAACAAAGCCTAAAAATGTATCCCCAATACCCATACAAGTAACAAAACACAAGGTTTTTTCTTGTTGATAATAAACAACATAATTTAAAGACCCCTTGATAGAGTAAAACTATTAAAGTTTTAGGCACAAGATAGTTCAGAAATGTGGGATTAACCTGTAGACTTACCCTTGTCTTCTTAGCAGTGCCCCCATGTGGTCAGCCAGCAGAACAGTCCTCAGCTGGCCCAGGGTCAGTGTGTCAGGAGTGGGTGTGTTGGGTTTAGGGTGCAGCGCGGGGCAGTTGAGCACCACACAGCCCTGCCTCTGGCCCGAGGGCTTCAGGTACTCTGTGGCTGCATCTGCCAGGACAGCTTTGAAGGCTGCGGCCCGGTCCACCCTCACCCTCAGACCCTCACCCGTTACCTCCCCACCTGCCACAGGGAGAACCCCACTGCCACGCAGGGACAGGACCCTGGACATCACTGCTGGAGGGACCTGGGCGGAGATAGCAGGTAATTAGAGACTAATGTATGTATGCATGAATTCAACTTTATGTGAGAAGGAGAAAAAAGGAATTGTAGGTAATTGTTTATCACTTTTAGTTGACTAATCATATGTAGAATTACACAACACATGGTAAACAGTACAGTTAAATGTATTGGACAAGAGCTCAGCTCAGAAATAAAAATGCATCAGCACAATAAGTCATGTAATGATTGAATTACAATGGATAGGGTGCCTAATATAAAGTATAGCACCAAATGTATATATTTAAAAGAAGGTTTTTGTGTGCATATGCATAGGTGGTTTGATACAGTGAAATAGCATGCAACTGACATAAGAGGATATTGTACTAGCATGTCATTTAAACCTTAGTTCACATAGATGTGCCTGTCTAAAAAACGTTTCCCCTTGCATTCTTGTTCATGATCTTATAGAGATGCATATCAATGTCACTGGAAACATATCAGATGTTGGCATCTGCATAAAATGGTGTGCTGTGTGCTCTGCATGTGTGACCATTAAAGAGAGTTTCATCCCTTCAATTATATTCTATCAGTATACATGTTGACAACATGTCAACAAGATGATGTTGTCACATGTTGATACATCATAGAAACATTTGTTAGTATTTATAAAGGGGACATAATCTTAGTTGCGTCCTATTTTGAGAAAGACTGACACGAACAAGCTATGCAGGCCTCCGTGTGTTAGTGTTGCTGCACAGTTAGACTTGCTTCTCTGGCTTGCAGCTCTATGCGTGTTTGACCCATATTTCATCTGCAGCTCACGGGTTAATAATTACTGCCGCAGGCTGTTCATGTCTGGTCGATCATGATGGGGCAAAGTCAACGGCCACCGATCAATTCAGCTGTCTCAGTACCACTCAAACATTAACATTTGGGGATTTGAAGGATTCAAGTCAGCATTCAGTTATGTTTTTCTGTCAGCTGAACTCAGCTGAGCGTTATGAAGCAGATAGTTCCTGTCCCCAGCCCCTATTGGCCAGTTCACGTTCCGAACAGTGAAAGCACCTTCCGACCATTTAAATATTAATGCGCTAAACAAAAACACCGTCACCACAGCGAACACCAGGGGAACTATAATGCTGAGTGGAAGAATACAGTGTCAAAGCGTGACAAGTTTCAACTGGCTAATGGCTATGTTTAACACCAGCTAGCGTTTCATGAGAGGGCTATGGGTATGAAGCGGTTTTATATGAATATATCGTTAACATTAAAACACCACAAACTGTACAATAAACCCCTTCATAATAACCCAACAGCCAGGTATCAGTCAAACCAACCTGCCCGTCCGCATACAGCGTGTTGAGCATCGTGGTCGGCGACAAGAAGTCCCTGTTCCGGAGGTTTTTAGCGCTGCTCTCCTTGAACCATAGCTTCTCCGTCTCAGGGAAGACCCTGTCGCCGTTTTCCCGGCTGCCATCGAGGACATCCTCTCGTTTCCCCCGCAGTGCGGAGCTCAGCGCCCGGACGGTCGGGGTGATCCGGAGGGGCGAATACTCCTCGGTGTTCTCCATCAGCAACACTAACAGGTGAGCTACCACTGTCAGGCTATCAGCACATCCACACCCTGCTCATACCCTCCGTTCAGACCCGGTGTCACTGCTCGCTGTGATGCAGGCTTTACTAAGCTCCAACACCGCTGAACATGCCAGTTACAGCCCTACGGGGAACCGCTGATCGATGTCAGATATCGGCTGTGAAGAAGGACTGCATTGGATGTTTTTTTTCTTCCTTTGCGGAACTAGTGAAGTGCAATCCTTGTTTCTTCCGAGGTGAATTTCCGTGTCGGACCAGTGGAATATGCTTAATAGCGCCCTCCAGTGTGTGGCAGAGTAACTGCAACTGTATGGCCAAAAGCTTGTGGACACACTTGTCTGTATTATGTTTGAGCAATATTTCCTGTGCAATCATGTGCCTACCTAACCTTTCTCCTTTTTTAATTTAAATATGTTGCTCTTCAATTGAAAACACTGCACTAACTGAGACATAATTATAAGAACTTGGCTTGGGAACTGGAGGGTCACTGGTTCCAGTAACCAGATCAAAGTGGGGACTGGTACCCTGTGGCCGTTTATATAATAAATGCCCACTGCATCTTATATTAGGATAGGTCAAATGCTAAATCTACATTTCTCTGCGTGTGCATTGCTGTGTATCTGAGGGACGATTGAACGTGGACGCGATTCAAATCCTACATTTCCATAAACAAATATATATATTTAAATAATGTATACACATTTTAAAAGGCTACGGGGACAACTTTTCCAAATGTTCATCATAAACTTGGTGGTTTTGGGCTTTGGCTGCGGCATCAGTATCTGTGTGGTGTCTGTAGAAAGTGCAAACACTGTCAGTACATCCCAAAATATACCAAACTGCCCTTTATAGTCAGACAAATAGCCCACACATTTAAGATGTAAAATAATCTGAAACTGAGCACTGTGGCCACAAACTGCCACAGAATGAGGAAGCATTTGTCATCGTGCCTCCTCCAAGTCATGTGAACATTTGCTTCTTCCACCCATCAGAAATACTGGTTCTGCAGAAAGTCTTACCAGAGAGTGTAATGATGATAGAAAACACACCTCAATCAGACACAGCGGAAACAGTGTAACACTTGACAAAACAGCATTTATTAGTTTTTACACTGCTCCAACAGTTTGACAGTTTCAAAGAAGAGCGACTGAGTAAGTTACTGATATATAGCGAAAGTAAAAAGGCACTGACAGTTACCATCGTTGATTATGAACCCTGCTTTCAGGAGTGTTCGTGGTGGAGGACGCCGGGCTGCAGAGGCTGATGGACCATGAAAAGGAAATGCACTACAATCTGATGAGTCAGCTGATCATGCATGAAAGGATCAGCTGAGGAAACCACGAGAGACATCCTGGACTCGTGGACGGGATACTGTTGAGGTTCCCTTCACCTCACTGCCCTGACACTTCCTTTGGGAGCGACATTGGAGAGCGTTATTCAGTTGAAGGGAACACCAGCTGATGTGCCTAAGCCCTCGTATTTTTTATTTTAACAGAATCTTTCAACAGTGTGCCAAAAGATAACTGAGATCATGTCCTCTTTAACGTGGACTCTGCTCAGTTGTGTCTAATACAAATCCAGGACACACTACAGTCATGCTCTCTGACTCACTGCTCATATAATGTAGTGTTTTTATCATTTTATTTAACCTTAAAACGATACCATTATAAAGTGACTGTAGCTACAAATACCAAAGGACTATGAAGCTGCATCATAATAATAAAGACATTTAATATGACAACATTCCCCCTAAAAAATAATGTTAAATATAAATTCCAATGCAATTTTACATTTAAATATGGCCAGGGAGACCCGTGATACTGCAAACCTTTTTCTATCCTAACAAGATAACAACGGGACCTTTTCATGCTTGTTTTTATATTCAAATAATGTACCAGAATTTAAAGAAAGCATTTCTGTGTCAACAATTAATACCATATCGTATTTTAGCTGTGCTGCCCGAAGTAAGGGAAAACAAGAGTAAGCTATTTAAATATATATATGGTATGTATACACACCACTGTTACAATGTAGTGAAGGAGAGAGAGCTCCTCAGTAGTTTGTGAATGCAAAGTGTGACGGAGCACAGATCTTAAATGCTAAATGGGAAATGTACTCAATAACTGAACAAACATAAGGAGAATAAGACAAAATATATACATTTAGAGTTATTCTACAGAAAACACAAAAGGAATGTCCACTTTAAAAAGTGAGAATTCCAAATGATGTGCAGTTGGTGCTATAGGTGTCATTCTTTGCTGACACGAAATTCCCGGTTGCGTTTCCTGTTCTCAGCAATCCGGGAGAAAACGTGTCATTGAGGAAAAGCACCTTCAAACTCAGTGTTTACACTCCTGTACATCCGGGTCAAAATGGAAAAGCAGCATATAACAGAGACCATGGTATTCATTTGACTTTCCTTTTGTGTTTGAGAGAAACAAAACCAATTCACTTTGAACCATCTACATCAGAATGTGTAGACTGGTATAAGCTAAACTGGTTTTGGTTTTATCCTCAGTCAACTGAGGCATGTATATTGTATACTTCTCTATACCGTTACCAGTGTTATAAATCAATCGTTTTTTTTCCTGAAGAACAATAAAGTTAAACTGATTTAAGAAATTCCGAGTAATCTCCTTTGATCAATGATTTGTGAGGAACCTTCTTGTTGATAGAAAAGTGCTCTAACTCCGCCGGTGTGCTCAGGACGTCCTGTGCATCATGGGATGGAAACGGAGCCTATAACCAGCTGGAGCTCAGAATTACAGCTGCATTATGGGTTCCGTTACAATCCCACCCACTAAAACGAGCTCCAGGCCCGGGCTCGGGTCATCAGGTTAACACAGCTAAAAAGAAAAGGAACAACAAGTTATTAACTGGGATACAGCTGAAGCCTGCAAGTGACAAGTCCAATGATTATATTACATTATTTTTGGATTACAGAAAATATGTCTGATGAATTCGATATGTAAAATATGTGATTAGTAAAGGACAGCATTCTACAAAACCCAATTCATTAAGTTAGAAATGTGGGAAGATGGACCCTTTAAATCCATTCTAAACAGCTTGATTTAAGCGTATTAGCCAAGAACGTGATATACATAATGCTGGTTGTTTTTTAAGTTAAACATCAAAACTATGTGTTACTAGCTCCTCCAGTTTTCACCTTCAGACACAGAACTGTAGGGTTATCTGAAATCACGGGTTATTGGTTTAACATAAAACAAGATCATCCATCAACTCAGCTGTAAGTGGTTGAAAAGTCACCACAAATCAATGTAAGCACATTTCGTTTTTACAAAGGAAAGCACCAAAAATGCTTATGATCAAACTGAAATATTGATGTTTTATGAAATTGGTTTGTGAGAAAATATGATGCAATTATTGCTAAATGTTTCAATCTAAGCACACTTCAAAATCATTGTAAATCACAATGCATTGTTTAAAGACTCTTTGGTGATGTAGTCTTTTTGAAGTAAACCGTATATACAGCGGCTGTGAAAAGGTTTTCATGTCTGGTCAGACAATATTTGAAAATGTGTATCTTAGCAACTGATAGAGATAAGATCAATCTTAAAGGAAGTACTGGTAATTGTTTATCAAGTTTTCCCAGACTGTCTGTTGGATGAGGAATACCTATCTCTTACAGAATCGCAAAGGTAGCTCTTTGTCTTTTTGAAATGGTGCACCATCTTGAAAAACCTGTTGTATCATCTGTTAGGAGCCGGGAAATAAATAGAAAGTTAAGTAGCAGTTAGGGCCGCGAGAGGTCAGCAAGGACGACAAGGAAGAAAGATTGAATGACAAATGATAGGGGAGTGCTGGAGAGAAGACGTTTACATCATATGACTCTAGTGGCTAAAAATAGCCTTTAGACACTTGTTCAAAGCAGCGTTCATTTCTCATGTTCTCAAAGGTTTGAAAAAGCCTGAAAATGAGAACTCAATCTGGACAGAAAAGAGGCAGTTGGTGAAAACAGAGAGGACTTTGATGACCTTTCACTTTGTCACTTTGACTTCCACCCTTGATAAAGAGGGCTTTGCCGGACAATATAAAGACAGTTGAAACATCAGGCAGTTTGACAAGCAGTACAATGAGATTTGTGAGAAGAATGTAAGGACAAAGTGAAACAAGTCAAAGCAGGACAAAGGGAGAGGTGAAATGAGGACTCTGATAAAGCCAATAGTGAAAGCAAAGTGGAAATAAAGAAAGACACGGGTATAAATAAAACACTCACATGATTGTAAAGTTTGAATAATAGTTTCTAAGAGTTGTTCAGCTCACCAACATCTCGGAGCAGCAGCGTCCTCCTCTGTTGTCCCGTCTGCCAGCAACTCAGGGAGTCACACTTCCTCTTTAAATACTCGCAGAGACTGATTTCACTTTCACTTCTCCTGACAGGACTCCCTCCCTTCTCCTGCTGGACAGACTTCACCACTACTGTCTTCATGTTGTCTTTTGAAAGTTTCCTCATTTCAAATACACCCCAGGTCAACTTAAATGCTTACTTTTGTAAGGTGGTTTACATCTTTACCATTTGAAAATGTCATTATCGTGTGTTTTTATAAGAATGAAAAAGGCCAAAACATTTGCTCTGATTGTTCTGAAAGTATTTAAATCTTGTATGGACATACGTTTCTAACAGAACCATTTGAAACTTTCGCTCACTCTGTCAATGTTCAATGTTCAAAAACACTATTATTTTGTATAACATATTGCATATGTTTGCATATGTTTTGATATAATCTTATGAGTTCATAGATATCAAACACTTGATTGTGCTCCTTTTAGTTTCTGAAGCAGAATTCTTTTTTTTAGACTGCTTTTTTCCTTAAATGTCATCAAATGTATAGAAAACAGTAGTGCTATGTACCTTAATACTAAATGTATTACAAAAACCTAAATTCTGTTTCCTTTGATCCTGAACAGCTCTGTTTGATGGAGTGTCCGGTGTTTGCAATTCTTTCAAAACACTATAACTACAGAATCTCTACTTTGTAGAATGTATAGTAGACAGAAATACTAAATGACAAATGGCTGCAGTAAAAGCTCGATTAACAAGAAATTGTTGCCAGAAATCCGCCAAAATACACAACAACCATGGCCTTTAGTTTCAAATATATTCAAATGAAATACACAGATTCAAAAAGCAAGGCACGCAAGGAGAAACTGTTATAATCTACATGATCTGCATCACATGTCAGGCTACTCATCTCCCTCCTAAAGGCCATCACCTAGGATCAAGGTTTTCCTTTATGCTTGTGCAACAATTTAGAGGAAAGATCCACAGTATTGGTGTAAGGTTATCTTGCATGTAGACATATATTACAATAGAGTTGGTTTTTAAGGTGCCTGTTGTGTATAGAGTTTAAATATTTACAGACTGGACAAAAGGAAGCGATTCAGAAAAACAAGATGGTAGAGTAAGCAGTAAAGGATAAAGTATGATATAATTCTTTAGGAAGTAGCAGCAGTGGTTTAACTTTCATTTGATGATTTGCACGTCAAAAGTGGTCAGTTGTAAAGGTTCAAATGGGTTTAATTTGGTTTAAAAGTATGATATTTTAGACATGTATAGGTACAATGGTTTCAACAGCAATGTATGTATAAACAATTAACTTGCTTAACAATAAAATAAAGCTATTTAAATGCCATTATGTTTCATGAAACCTAGACATTTGGAAAGACTTTAACGTTTTATTATTCCATGAATCATTGTTTGGTTTCCCATGTGAAACCCTGATCCTTCAGTTGCTATATCTGAACTGCTTCCTTGTGTGTTCATTAGTCTTTGACATGATGGATGATGTGAGACAGGTGTGTGTGTGTGTGTGTGTGTGTGTGTGTGTGTGTGTGTGTGTGTGTGTGTGTGTGTGTGTGTGTGTGTGTGTGTGTGTGTGTGTGTGTGTGTGTGTGTGTGTGTGTGTGTGTGTGTGTGTGAGAGAGTGTGTGTGTGAGAGAGTGTGTGTGAGAGAGCAGGTGAGCAGGTGTGAGCAGCAGAGTGTGACCGCAGCAGTCCCATCGGCCCGTCTGGGTGTCAGCCTGGAAAGTCCGGTGGATTCAGAGGGTACCTGATCCTCCCCAGAGACCCCCTGCAGCGGGCAGGTGAGGGGGGGAACCGGGCGGTCCCTCCCACGCTTTGTCCTTCAATGTCCTTCAGTAATTAACAGCTCAGCAGAAATGCAGGTGTGATCTGATTGGATGGACCGGCAACCAACTGGTCTTCTCCAAAGGGAATGTTAAAATGAATGCCACGTTGCACAGTTCTATTAATGATAAGGGTTTATCTTCTCGGAAACTCACTTCACAGTTTTAGTTTAACAAAGTATTAACAATCACTAGCATGTAATACAGTTCTTGATTATTTTCAACACACATTTTAGAAAGTTATTTTTCCTTAAACGAGCCAGATAGCCAGATAAGTCATTTCTGTTACAAATCTGAGTCAGTGTACAGCCGGCCAGCTAAACATTTGAAAATGTGTCTACAGTAAGCTCTTATTTGCAATATTTTAGGTAGTATTTACATGTGTTAAAATTTGACCAGTCAGCGTTTGCAGTCATTTTTCAAGTGTCTCAATATAGTTTCCCTATATTTGAAGTGGTGGACAGTAGCTAGGTATATTGAGTCAATTGTACTATGAATACTATACTTTAAAGAAATCTTAATGGAAGATGGAATACTATAAGACTGTTTTGTTGGCATACTACACTATGAGATTTTTCATTACCTTTTCTGGCAAACAGTACAATGACTGTTTTTCAGCAGTGACTTTTGTTGACATTTTAGGTCATTCTATACTTTGACTTATTTACAACATAATTTAGTGTGATTTTTGCATACTGTACTATATAATGTATAGGATAATATTATTTTAAAAAGTATTATACGATGCTGTTCTTTGTAATCACCTAATGCCATTCTATTACTTCTTTAAAGGAATAGAATATATTTTAATTAGTTGTTTATAACTCTAATATGACTTTTTTTCAATTTTCTTTGATTACTTTTTACAACATACAATGCTATTCTTTTTTGTAATATATTACTTTTGACGGCATAGTAGAATGGTATTTTAGCATGTTTTAGCATGTATTAATGGTATTTCTCTTTAACACACTGTACTATTCATTTATACGATCATTTAGCCAGAAAAAGTCATAGTATAAAATGTCAAAGCGAAGATGTGAGAGTATGTCAAAGATTTCTGAACAAATGTTGGGGGAAAAAACAAGTCTTATATCGAATAAAGTTTATGGTATAATACTTTTTAAAAAATCAAAGGAAAAACTATATATAATATATCGTAATCTGAAAATATCAAATGAAAAAAAGACATGGAAAAGTAGGTCTTAAAAATAGCACAAAACGACATACGTCAAAAACGGTAATAGAAAAATATGCTGAAAATAAAAAATATATAGTATGTCAAAACTATCACAAAAACGACATAGTATAGAATGTCTAAAATGTCATTAAAATAAACATAGTATAATAGGTTGAAAATAGTATATGTAGAAAATATCACAGAAAACAACAGATTAATTAGTATGTCGAAATTATGTGGACAAATGTATGCAAACAAACTGGATAGTATAATAGTAAAACTTTTTTTTTTTTTTAAAATCATAGTATAGTATGTTGAAAATATCATAAAAAGAAACAAAGTATGGTATGCTGAAAACTTTGGAAGAAACAAAATAGTATAATATGTCGACATTTTCAGAATACCGAAAAATATTGCATATAGTGTTGAAAATGTGCAAAAAAACCAACATACCATGTAAAAAATATGCAAAAACCTACTTAGTGTAGTACATCGAAAATGTAATGAAAAAGATAACATATTTCAAATAATTTAACAGTGCGTTAAAAAAAGAAAGCTTGTTAGACATGCCTCAAAATGAAATGATATTGTCTCATACCATTTGAATGCTTTTCTTTGACATATGACATCCATAGTGAAAGTGCTTTGGCAAAACAAATGTATAATAAATACATTTGTTTTATAACATTTACATTTTATAGTCTACTACACATTTTTGGAAAACTACACTTATTGTGTGACACGCAAGAAGAAAGCATGTCCTTTGACTTAAAAAAACATGGTGTCTAAATGGATTGTAGCCACGTCTCCTTGCAATCTACAAGTTAAATACCATGATCCTTGAGGAGACAAACAGAAAAGAAATGCTCCAGTAGGCATGTCTACGGTATCGGGTGTATGCAAGTCGCTTCAAATAAAAGGGTAAGCTTTGTGAATATACATTTAATTGGTTGTTGGTAATTGTTACTCATGACAGCAGCAGCATGTCTTCTGATATGCCTCTCTCTGCATTGTATTATCAACTCTGTATAGAATAGAAAAACACAGATCTTCAAAAAATGACCAAAAACTTGTTTGTGGAAAAACACATAGGCTTTATTATCAGACAGCTTTTTTCGCCTTAAAATGGACACGCCAGACATTTACTTTAAATCAGAACATGGAAGGCCTTGGAGGAAACAATCACACGTGCACTGTTGATACATGTTTAGTTCCCCGTCTTCACACAACTACACTGAACAGAGACAATGCATAGATAGCACTGGCAGGAAGACTTGATCGATCGTTGGAAGAGCGAGAGCTTCTTCTTAAAGACCATTTCTATGAGATTTTAGTAGTGTGTGTAGAGAATGACTAAGAGAGTCAGGCATGTAGTGCAGTTGCATAATGTGTCTGTCTCCATCAGCAGGCAGCACAGCTCGCTGCTTCTCAAAACAGTCGTTTCTCATAACTGTGGGACAAAGAGGAGTTGGTCAGAAACATCACACAGCTTTCATGATGCTCCTGAGGTTTCAGATTGGAGGAACTTGTTGTGGTTGGAGCGACACATGAAACTAAGAACTGTTTAAGATATTGGATTATGAAAGCAAGTAAAACAAGTTTCATACATGTGTGTTTGTGTGTGTACCTGTGCAAGCCGTGGACTCCACCCTCGTTTTGAGCTGAAGTTGTTCTCTTTTCAAATTTCAGGTCTCCAGAGTACATCATGGCTCTGTCGGGAGGAAGGAAATGTTACACATCCCAGACATCAAGAGGAAGAATGGCAGGAGAAACAAACACTGGGCAAGTACCAAGAACTGGATCAGTAAGTCATCTAATCATCAGCAAGTGTTCACCACTTCATGCCTGGTTCCGACTACGCAATATTTTGTCTGTTACAATAGTCAGTCAAGCATACAGTCATAACATCTTGACATGACCTGGCCGAGGGACAGGCTGCATGACTATTCAGAGGTTTGCCATCTTCAATGAAATCGTCAGGAAGAAGATGACAGAGGCCGACTACTAGTTACAAAAGTGTCAACGAGCATTAGCAGCTTGGAGGATGCTAGCCGTCTTGTTTTCGTACATTTACTTTGACATATTGACAGAACGTTGTTAGTCACTAGTTTGCAGCTTAGCTGGGCTGATATAATGTGGTCTATCAAGGCGTTACAAAAATAAATAGCTTTTTATGGCATTTAAATGGCATACAAATGTTACTTTTGACATTATGATTTAGTGTACATTTATGCCACGGTTTACGGCAATTGATTGTACAGTATTTTCTCTGACACTTGTTCTTTGTCGCAGACATGGGGGTTGTAAAACAAGGTATTGAATTAGAACTTCCCACTCATGCATAACGGAAACGTATCCCTGCCTGTGTAGTACCTGAGCTGTGTGAGGCTCTTGGATCCGATGTCCTGACAGGAGTGCTGAATGCCAGCCAGCAGGTAGGGGACGAACTTGTGGATGGAGCCTTTGTCCTGCACCGCTCCAGAAACACCCTGAGCAACTTTGATCTTATCGCACTCACTGTGAAGGGGAGAGGAAGTAGGCTCATCACTCTTTATCACAAGGTAGACATGTGTCATGTTTTACAAACCACTGAAAACGCAATGAGGAAGAAGTGTTGCCATCTGGGAAAAGACAATGAAAAAAACTGTCTGGCTGAGGAGAGTGTGAGATACTGTCATCACTAGGGTGCTAACTATTAATATTACAGTGTATTAGCCCAGTATCTGTACCTGAAGTATCTGGTCTGAGAGCCCAGGTTTTTGTCCATGGCATCCAGGGAGCCCATGCCTCTGTATTTCTTCAGCCTGATGCCGTCAGAGAAGAAATATTCACCAGGAGCTTCACTGGTGGCCGCCAGCAGAGAGCCCATCATCACTGCACACAGAGAGACAGGGTGGGAGTGACAGGTCAATAACATTTGAAATGAACTACTTAAAGGCTTTGAAAATGTCTAGCATGGAGTAACCATCATAATCCAAATCTGAAAATCTACTGTTAATCCTCTCTGTAACATGGATTTAAAACATCAGAAAAACTAACAAACCCTTATTCACTTTAGATGTTAATACGTTTGATTTTGATTATGATTCTATAACACCCATTCTATCCATACCAGTGGATGCTCCCAGTGCCAGGGCTTTGGCAATGTGCCCGACATTCTGGATGCCTCCATCAGCGATGACCGGCACCCCGAACCTCCGGGCGTACTCCGACACCTTATAGACTGCTGTGGCCTGAGGTCTGCCGCACGCCAGCACTGAGGAGAGGAGGAGAGGAGGAGAGGAGGAGAGGAGGAGAGGAGGAGAGGAGGAGAGGAGGAGAGGAGGAGAGACGGGGGAGGATTAAAGGATGGGAGAAAATACAGCTGTTGCATTTAGTTAACTGAACTGAATAATGCTTTTCCCGCTCTGGTTGCATATGAACCTCTTAACCTACCAGAGCAAAGACAACCGCTTGCAAAATGTTCAAACTGCACACCACGTGAAGCTTTATAGATTCTAGGGATGCCAGCGATTATTCGAATATTCGTTACAGTCTCCATAATCGAAGATTATTTTGAAAATTCGATTTTATTTATATATATTTTTATTATTATTTATGTTTTTCTTTTTTTCCTGGCTTAGTTTCAACCAAAATATAGACTAATGCTAATAATAGTATTAATAATTGTAAATGGCCATTGGTCACACCACCAGTTTGTTTTAATGTAAACTTGGAGGAAGCCAGCAGCGCAGGCTGCGCAGAGTGCAGACTGCTGCTGCTACACTCAACATCGTGCAGCCCTATCACACGTGCGATTGGTTTATTGGCAATATATAATATAATCGATTAATATTCGCCAGGGCTGTCCGATTTTCGAATTTGATCATGGGCAGTTTCTCGCATCCCTAATAGATTCATGTTAATAGAATATCTTTTCCATATTTAACTGCCAATTATTCTTTCATGTGATTATATTTGTTGACCTGAATATCAACATAAATACAGATGAGATTTGGAACCAGGAGCCTGCTGCTCATTTGGTAAACTGACAGTTTTGATGGGCATGCAGGGTGGAAAGTACCACACACAGACAGGCTGGGGTTGTGTCTCCTTCTGTTGTCATGTTAGTTAAAGTGTGAATGGGGAAGTTAAACTCGTCACGTCAGCAGAAAAATCCAAACTGCCAATCAATTTCATTTACATCTCTTTCCCACGCTAATCTTTCACACCGACGCTTGAATATATAAAGAGAACTATCCCAATTCCTTTTTTTTTTTACAAGTAGAGTGGTTTTGCTTCCTTAGGAGTTGTAGCTTGACCAACCTAGTAGTCCTAATTATCCTGCTACATATGCTAGGTCATGATCTGAGAGTATTGTGCAAAGGGCTCTTTCTACAAGTTATCGGAACCACCACCCATGGATACTGGTGGTGTGGTTTAATGCTAAAGCTCCCAGAATTCTGGAGGCGGCAAACGCACCTTATAGCTCTTTAATCAGAAACACATAGGAGCAACTTATGTCTGTTAGAAAAGTGTTTCCACTGCATGGTACGGCTCTGCTGGAAACATGAAACTGAAGACTTGAGCCGTGCCATGCAGAAATCATGTTTATTACTGTTCTGTACATGTCTTTTGATAACACGTGATCAAAGTGCTTAAAAAGGTCATCACCATACAGCCATGCTACAATTCAAAACTATGTCGATTTGGGTGCAACAATCACAGCTGGCATCACTAGCAGACTGATTCTAATGGCTGAACAAAGATACATTGATCAAGTCCGCCTCGATCCTTTATAATGACATGAATTACAAAGCAAAGCTGCAGGCTGGAATATCACTCGTCTGGCCCCTCCCACTGCAGCAGGTTCACCAGCTCTGGTAGGCAGAGACACCCTGTGGCTGAAAGCACAAATGATGGTGGAAGTGGATGAGAACGGTGCTCTATAGCGGATACAATGATGGGAGGGCCAACAAATCAGAGTTACAGAAACAGCACAAGGAGGGTTTGGCCTTAAACCAGCCACCATCTGACCAACGGTACCGGAAAGGTAACCAAAGGACACACATTGTGTCTCAATCTGATGACATCAAGATCATTAAAGGGGGATGGGGTCAGATAGCACAAAAAACATGTCCCGTGTCTTTTCATAACCCCTTTGATGGAAAACAGTATGAGGTCAAGGAAAGATGTGAAGGACACCGACCCGGACTGGTGTCTCCCCGTTTGATCAGAGGGGTCATTCACTCAATTTGGAACTCTTTCCAAATGCGGCTAGCAAGATCAGTAAAGTGGGTGAAGGAAGAGCAAAATGCAATCAGGATGATTGACAGATTAGTGAGGACACAAGATCAAGCAAAACCCCAAAACCTCAAAACACCCAAGGCCAGCTTTTAAAACAAACAAAAACCTAGGACCACTACCTCTATCTATCTATGAAAAGCTGTTAACCAATCAATGCAGCAGGCTGTGAAGTGGGGAGGGCGGGCACACTGTGATAGTGGAGCCAATAGGAGACCAGCTCAGGCCAAAACTTACTGGAGTATCCCGTAACAGTGGTTGGGGTTTTGGGGCTGTGGAGCTTTATAGCTGGAGGTACACTTAGGGGAGCTGGACATGGAAAAATACATGGACATAATATACACAGACCATCAACACCAAGGGGGGAACCAGGGAAGAGAATATAAGAGAGTGAAAGCAGAGGGAGTGGGAGAGAAACAAGGGGAGGAGGCAGGTATGATGACAAACAAGATGAAGATGACAGATCAAAGAAAATGAACAAGAACATATGCTGCAAATTTGCAAGAAAAACATGGACGACACAGAGACCTTCGCCAGACATATCACAGCTGTATCCAACAAATGTATCCCTATGACAACTTAAGATTTAAAGTCCAGCTGCAACAACCTACTTGCAAAATGTAACCAAAAAGAGTTCATCTTTTCAGATGATCTAAATGTCAGATCAGACGATCACAGAGAGATCAATCTTTGACTACACAACAATCATATCTCGTGTGTTTTAACGTGTATTATGACCTGCAAAGGTAATCAGGCAGGAGCGCCAGAGACGGACTCCCAGCATAAGAACAATCAAAACAAACTGAAGTCCAGAGCACTTAAACTAACAAAAAGACACAATCATTCTAAACATGCTCGTCTTTCTATCCGAGCCTCTGAATAGACTTCCATTAGGACGCACTACAATGAAAGGTTGAACAAAACTATCAATGTGTGCCATATCAAGCCAATATATTGTTGTTATCAAGCAAACACACGCTTTCTAGGCCCAAACTAAAGTCCAATACATCAACAATATGAGTAACTACTAACGACACATCATTGTCCTAACACTGGCCGATGGAATAACCAAACAGCTCCAGAATGGCTGTGGGCTGCTTTGTGAATCAGTTCGAAGTCCGCTGTCTCACTCACCTTCCTGTGTGATGCAGATGGAGCCGCTGCCCATGCCCACCCTCAGCCCGTCCACTCCTGCATCGATCAGGTTCTTAGCCTGAGCTGCAGTCACCACTGCAGCAGAGGGGGGGGGGCAGAGTTGGTTTGTGCATCTCTAGGTATACTCAATGCAAACACTCATTTCTGGCATTAATGGAAACACCCTTTCTGATTGTTAGGTAAAGAAAAGTGTAGTTACCATTGCCTCCAATGACTTGCAGGTGAGAATACTTCTCTTTGATATACTTGATCATGTTGATCTGATAGATTGAGTTGCCCTGAGAGGAGTCCTAGAGGTACACACAGAACATATGATATTTGTATTCACAGAGCACAGTTACATTGAATGCACTTACTTTATACATTTCAAAGCTTTTAGAAAACCTGAAAGCTTAATGAAATGTAATGAATCCAGAACACATTACCGGCATGCCATTACATGGGTTTAGAGATCAAGACCTTGTCTGTTGTGCACTTTAATGCCACAGTGAAGGGGCACTGCACTGCTGCCATAATAAGTTAACCCAGTTAATCTATTACAAATCTGTAAAAGAGCACACTTGGAGTCCGTTCACCGCCAACCAATGCTTTCTCAGTGATAAAGCTCCCAAATAGGCACCAAGGAGTCTGAAATTGATTCCAGCAGAGAAGTGCAGCCCAGTTTGCGCTCAGTCTCTAAATCAGGATCTGAATTCCCTCTGGTCTTCACCTTTCATTTCTAAACTAAATGTCTCCTCACCAGAACAACCACGTCCACGCCGCTCTGCACCAGCAGGTCCAGCCGGTACTTGTCGTCGTTGTGGGTGCCGATGGCGGCGCCACACAGCAGCTGTTTGCGTGAGTCTTTAGAGGCCAGAGGGAAGTCTCTGTTCTTCTTCAGGTCTGTGCGGGCGATGATGGACACCAGGGACCCCTCCTCATTCACTATAGGCAGCTTACCTGCAGGAGGAACCAGGGGGGTCAGACGTTCACACCAGGATGCAAGTTCATTTGGTTTATGTCATAATCTTAACTGCAATGGAAACTGAAATCATGCACGTTGTGAATAATAAACTGCATTCTCACCTTTCTTACTCCTCTGGAGGATTTCATTCGCTTCTTTCAGCGTAACTCCAGCGGGGGCGACTACTAGATCCTCTCGCTTCGTCATCACCTGTCAAGGCATTTACACACAGGGTATAAATAAAGGATGTATCCAAACTCCATTTTTCAGAGGATGTTGAAGTGGTTAGTATTTTGAGGGGATATCTGTCATTTAAGATATGACACTAACCGTAAATGAAAGATTTTAACATAATAAAAGTCATGAACAGGAATTCAGGCATTGTTCTTGTAAATCCATGACCGATGTCACAGCACAAAATAGCCAAACCTTGTCCTACATTTTGAAAGTGTTTAGTTGCGTAAAAGCACACCTCTGTTATTATTAAAACAGCAACAATCATGGAACCGGTGTGGTTTTTATACCTAAAAAAGAAAATATATCCACATAAAAAGAAAACTTCTATATTAATAATTTGTAACATACTGACACACTTAGAACTACTTAACTATTTGTCTAATCTACAGTTATAAACAGAACTATCTGAAGAGGTCCTGGTTGCTATTAACATCCATTATGTATGCATTTGTATATACACACATACTACACATACATGTTAAGCCATATGTAGTGGCAGATACAAAAGAGGAACATTGCAACACAAAAATGATAGCAGTGCATGACATTAAGGATTTTGGGAGATGGCCCTGTGGGCCATCTAAGCTAATTTACAGATGGCCCTGAGCCCAATAGAGATTGCCCTGAAAAATGCTCGCGGACGAAATGACGCACGAAGGGTTTGGGGGGCCTCCCCTTAGAACATTTAGATTTAGATTTAGATGTGTGCAGGTCTTAGATGCTGTCTGGTGCATTCTCTAGACTGAATTATAAGATGAACCACCACAATATTATATTGTACAATTTCAATTTTATTCTTCATTTCACTTGTTTGTTTGTGTTTGCTCGCTTGCATCCCCTGCATAGCTATAAGAAATACTTAAGTTGTTGGTCAAGACACTTTCCATCTGATGAAGGCAAATGCCTTCCCAGATGGAAAAAAGTAGAAAACATTACATTCAGTTGTAACTGCCTAAACAAACATTATTTACACTATTATGGCCCCTGTTAAAAATGTTTGTAATGTTATCTACTGTAAGTTGGTCGAACGAATGCCTCCTCACCCGGAAGCTACCCGAGCAGACCCGAGCAGCAGTCGAGAGGAGCCGAGCGCATCTGCGAAGCACACAAAATGGCGACGTCAGAGTTCCCGTTAGCCGGCAAATCTAAATCTCTTCGGTCAAAATAATTTCCCTTTAGCGCAATACCGCTTCAGTTGCGCCACTTATGTGACAGACAAGAAGAGTATGTGACAGACAAGAATAGTCAATTCTAATGTCTAGCACGTAATGTGGAGAAATAGATGTCCTGTATGGGTTGATTGTGCGTTGATCTGTTGGTAATGCCTCGGGGTTCCGGTGGGCATGTAAACAAATGCATAATGCTGCGCTATACTTTGTGGCCTCACCCGGTTGCATAGCGACACTTATTGTTTAGGTGTCTTTTAATAAGCAGGTAGTCATATCATTAGCTAGAACTAGCTGGATCTGATCGATATGGACATAAACGCGAGTGAAGTCTAATCTGACGGGAGAGAGAGATCAGCTGCTGCTGACGAGTCGACACGCAGCTCTGCATAATCACCTGCAGCGGTGAGCGGACAAAACACACACTTCAGGTTAGAATATCACACGTAGCTATTTTAATTACCTCTCAAACTACCTAAACTAGTTATAGATATGTTTAGTTTTACTGTCGGGTCACTCATTACTGGATCCGCGAGCTGCATGATACTGGCATAATAGATTGCCCGATCGGGAAACCAGCAGGTGAGGCTTCATTGCCCGAGCTAAATAGTAGATGGCCCCGGGCCATCGGGCAGTCGTTAATGTCGAGCCCTGGATAGCATACATTTATGTTTTTGCTAACATATTATTATTATTTTAACTATGCCGTTATATTTGTGATACACTTAACCGTTACGATTACAAATATTTGAAATGTTTCATTTACTGTCATTTTTGTTCAAGTTTTTCACTCAGTTGTATACGAGTCTCACAAATTCATTATCAATCAGACTCGGACTTCAATTCAAAACTATTGGATAATTCCTCCAGTTTTTCATGAAGATATAACAAATCATACACTCTTGATTTTTCAGTTCCTAAAAAACGTACACTAACCCCACAGTAGTTAATAATGTCTAATGACTCATGTCTTACGTCGCTCAGCGGCAGGTTATGGTCCTCCTCCTTCAGGAAGTCGATGTCTCTGGAGGAGATGATGCCCACCAGCTTGCCGCCCATTTTCCCGGTGTCTGTGATGGGGATTCCACAGAAGCCGTGGCGAGCCTTGGCCTGGAAGACGTCCCGAACGCGCTCGCTGGGGCTCATCACCACGGGGTCCGTGATGAAGCCCTGCTCATAGCGCTGGAGAAGGGAGGGAAGTAAGGAAGGAGGTGAGGAAAGGAGGGGTTTGGAGGAATAAAGCGGGGCAGGAACAAATATAATTGGGAAGTGGAATCAAGAGCCAGCCGAGGAAAGAATGTAAGGGATTTCATGTGGGTGGTTGGATAAAGAATATTTGAGCGTTTACGGCTTAGACTCTAGAGCAGCGGAGCAAGGCATGCAGGGAAATGAAACACTTCTTAATCGTTCAAACTAAAAGCAGTAAATAAAAATAGAGAAAGACAAAGAGATGCCGACATGAGATGACAGAAAAGATTAACATAAAAAAAGGGAAAAATGGATGAAGTTTAAAACCATACACATGGCCATCATCAGTACCTTGACTTTCCGAACTTCATTGGCCTGGAACTCTGGAGTGCAGTTGTGGTGGATGAAGCCGATGCCACCTGTAAGCTGCAGGCAGACATACATCAGTGTGTGTCTGTCACAGTGCACCAACGTGATAGCAGGAATAATAAAACAATCTTATAACTCAAGGAAACTGAGCATTCATGTGTTGACTTACTGCCATAGCTATGGCCAGGTTGGCCTCTGAGACGGTGTCCATGGGAGAGGAGACGAAGGGGGTCTTCATGGTGATTTGTTTGGTGAGCGCTGAGGTCAGGTCCTGGACAAATGACAACAGCAGGTATTTTTTAGCACACAGGGACAATTTAAACACACTTTAACAACTCCTGAGTAACATATTAGAGCAGACAAATCAGAGTCCACCGTAATATAAAGGCTGGACATTGTTTTACAATGTTAACTCACAATTTGACATGTATAGTTACATATTTTATCAGCAGACCTTTTTCATTTAGGTTTTTTGTAACATTATAAAATAAACAAGAGTGAATAATATAAAAGATATTTGGTGAATTCCATTTACTTGTATGATTACAGGTTCCAGTTATGTTCTCCCTTTATGGACTGTTGAACAATCTAAGAGTTTACTTTTCTCCCACTTCTTTCCTTAGATTGGAGGAAGCCTTTTGGGCATGTCATTTGAGACAGACATCGGTTTTTACAAAAAATATGCAATTTCACCCAATTTTGACAAACCAAGTTTGTGTTGAAAAAGCTAGAGCAGATAAAACATTAATTCAGTTATGCTTTCTGATTTAATTGAATTTAACGACTTGGATTACGAAACTAACCTTATAATGGTAAGCAAAATCATGTATCCAAAACCTCTCTGGTCAGACTCATTTATGTCAAATGTAATTACTAGGGCCGGGACTCCATTAAAAAAATGAATCTAATTAATTAGAGGCTTTGTAATTAATTAATCGAAATTAATCGCATTTTTAATCACATATAAATATTTGACCTAAGAACAGTGAGAAGCAATTTTTTTCACATGGATTTTAGTATACCATTAGGCGCATTCACACCGCAGTACTTTTCCCACAAAGGTTCATGAGAACTTAGTTCATGAGAACTCTTTGAACCTGGGGGTGGATTAGGCAAATGAAGCCGCTGACGTCACTTCTTCTTCTTCTGCTTTGGGTTTACTGGCAGGCCGCAAACCACTTCACGGCGTATACTGCCGCCCAAAGTCCCCGGCCGGAAGTCCCCGGAGTTGGGGACTGGCTTCAGTAGAAGCTGCTGGGAGTCCCAGCTGGGAGTCCCAGCAGCTTCTACTGCAGCCTTGCGAGTAAATCGCCAGAACGTCGACACCTCCTCATCTCCACCACTCCCATGTTTTATTTTGTGTTGCCATAAATTAGTCTCTCTGCGTTTCTGCGCTGGGCTAATGCTAATAATGCTAATGCGAGGATAATAAAATGGCGGCTTCACAAAACTTTTTGGGAGTTTTACGGGGCGTGGTTTGCAATCCGCCCAGCCAATCAGAAATATAGCTCTTTTCTCACAAGAGAGCCGTACGAAAGTCCCTGCTCTCTAGCAGCTCTCTGCTCTCTAGCAGGGACTTTCGTGGGGGTAAAAAGGTTCTCATGAACTAATTTTAGTACCGGCTCTTTTTGGTGTGAACGTGATAAAAGAGGCTAACGTCCACGCTAGCTGCTATATGTTTTGCATTGAGGTGATACTTGAGGCTTGATGTGCTGCGGTGATATGCGAATTCCTTTTTGCATAATTTGCACACAACCGTGCTCTTATCGACGCTTCCATCCGTCCGTTTTTTAAAACAACATTTCCCACTGTTGTTCACTGTGGTTTGTTGTTGTCTGAAGTCATGAACGTTAGTTGGTGCTCCAGTATAATCGGTACGCCTGAAACTCATCCAGTGAGAAACGTTCCGCGGTGCAAAAATAAGTGCGATTAAAATGCGTTAATTTTTTTAACGCGTTAATTTTTGTGTAATTAATTAATCTTAATTAACGCGTTAAAGTCCCGGCCCTAGTAAATACACTTTATTATAAAGTCTGGGAAGCCATATTTGACTGCTCGGTCTTGTGGAGGCATTATGAGCCTAATTCTGGGATTATTTATGATGGGAGGCACTCAGTTGATAATCCTCACTCTTCCCGCATGCGCTATCCCAGACATCAGATTAGTTTGATTCCATAACACAGCAACACTAATCAGATGTTATGTTTTGGCATACAGTTTATTTCCCCCATAATGACAACTCACCACTTGGTCTGATGAGAAATCGATGTAGCCCGGCAGGATCAGGAAGTCGCTGAAGGAGAGACAAGAACAATGAGATTAGAGCAGCTCTTCGTCAGTTAGTCCATCACACGTAAAGACAGGGGGATAAAAGAATTCATCATCCCTTTATATTCAAATCATATTTACTCAAACCTTCACAGAAACAATAACTCTTTATGTTTGGCTTGTCGGGTTTAACAGAACAGTTAAACGATCTTAGACACAAGCACACATATGTTGTTGTTCAGAAATAGAACACAGAAAAAGAGATTCAAGTAAAAATGTGATTTAACCGTCTCCAAACAGGACATAACAAGGATGTCTTTCTGGAGAATGTTCAGAAGGGGTCATGTTACAGTACAAATGTGTGTGTGAAATGTTTTTGGCAAAGAACTCCTTACTTGCAAGCATGTCAATCCATGTGCTGTAGGAGAGACAGTGAGCCATGTGATGATGAGACCAAAAGGAGACCTGTTCAAGTATGTAACATGAGTGACTGTGAGCCAATACACCGTCAAAGCATCAGGGGTTCAGTGGGTTTACTAGGCCATCAAAAAAGCATTTACTAATGTTGAATAATACTAGTATATTGCTGCAATAATAACAAATAAAAACGTTTTCATTGGAAGTAATAGTTAGTTTTATTTTCAATAAATCTCTTAATTATTTTATTCTGGTTTATCAAGGAATAATAAATAAAAATAGCAATTTGGGGACATTGCTTTGTAGAGCTGGTAGATGTAGAAGTATTTTGATGTCAGATATATAATTTGGGACTTAAAAGTAAATACAGAACAATATATTTTGCTTTGTTGCTAAAAGGACTAGCAAGCAGACCCTTTAATAAATAGCCAGGGTCCACACAGTCCAGCATAACAACACAGGATGTGTAAACCAGGACCTAAATTTGGGTCCAGTGTGTATAGAAGGAATGTGCCCCCCCCCCCTTCATTTCCAAGAGGTTGTTATTCAATCTACTGCTGTTTTAAAGGCAGATGCTTCACTTATAAATAAACCTTTACAGGAGGCAATGTGCAATATATATATATATAAAGTGAAAACAATAAACTGTCTAAAGTTCAAAGCAGTTGTAAAACTTCACCAATGACCAAAAGACAAACCATTAGTGTCCTGCCAGCTGTGATCACCGGGTTAATATAAATCAAGGGTTAAGTAGACAGTGTGTTCACCTTTACAATTGTGTTTTTATGAATAAGCAGCCCATCAAAGCAGACATATTTCTCTACAGTTGTTTAATGCAATAGATTGCATACTTTTGGTTATTGCTATAATTTATCAATAGATTAAAATGGAAGATACCACTTTGGTCTCTGGTAACTATATTGTAATGTGTGTTCAGTTTACTTGCAATGAGTATTCACTTGATTACATTGTAGAAGCAGTTGTGTAATGTCTTCTGCAGCATATCTCACACATCAGTGACTGTACAGAATACGCACTGAGTAATTATGTTAGAAGGCTGGGCAGTACAATGTAAACAATGGTCCAGAATACATACATTTACTCTCCTACATTATGAACCATTTTGACCACTAGGGTCACCTAGGAAATATCTGTTTTATGTTCCCAGAGTCAAAGCTAAACAGGTGTATAATGTCTTCTGTGGTTCTTCTATAACCTTGCTGTCAGTGTGAGACAGAGATGGGGACTCGAGTTTGTGACTCGGACTCGAGTCGCACTTAAGTCGCACACACAGAGACTTCAGACTTGACTTGGACTCCTGCTCAAAACACTTCGGACTCGACTTGGACTCGTGTTTTGGGACTCGTGAACAATCATTGTGTTTTCTATTTTTGGCGTATTAAAGGTGGGGTAGGTACATTTGAGAAACCGGCTCGAGATCGCTAGAATTTGAAAATACACAACCGGAGAAAATCTGCCACTTCCTCACAGAGCCCCTCCTCCAACACACACGAACGCGCACATGACCAATGAGGGCACGAGGTAAGTTTGTGCCCCGATGGAAGGCTGACAGGCAGGTAGGCCATCCAGTTACTTTAGCCGGGCCGGCTATCGGGATGTTAAGAGCATTCCATGGAATATAACAAAAAGTGTATCTCGAGCCGGTTTCTCAAACTTACCTACCCCACCTTTAACATCATGGTAACTGTAACACCATGGTGACCGGCGGCACACCTGCAGCTGTCCCGCTTGTAATTAGGTTCAACTATAAAAACTTCGAACAAAACGCCGGCGGCACCAACAAAAGGAGCGCACACTGCAAAGTCTGCAATATTAAAATCAAGGATGCTGGTGCAACAACGTCAAATTTCATCAGGCACTTGAAAACTCACCCGGAGAGGTCAGTCACATTAACGCATATGGACGGTTAGCAAACATGTTTAGCTCAGCATCAGCTATGTAATGTTAACTTAGCTTGCTACTAGCTTTGTAACTGAATATTTGAAACGATGAGTGAATGTTTGCTTGTCACACTTGTTTGCGTTGAGTGGCGTTGACATCCAACTCTTGACATGACATCAAAAAGGTCGGTAACGTTAATCATTACGTTCCGCTGCCACCATCTACTAGCTAACGTTAAACGTAGAAAAATACATAGAACATACATAAATACATCTGTCGGTTTATAGGCAGGTTACAGGTTTATTGTTGACCACGTAACGTTAATGTTACAGGTGTATCAGGTTACCATTACACTGGGTTTGAGTGAGAGGATAGAGGAATATGTTTATTTATAGTAGACTTAAAAGATGTAATTAGAGACCCAGTGTAATTAAACAATACGGTTGCAGGGGTCACATTTTAAAAATGTTGTCCACTGGCCAAATGGCTAGCCTAGTGAATGTTGAAATGTTACCAGCCACTCAATAGATTGCCATTGTTATTTTTTGGCTGGTGCGTGCAACATACAGTACCAGCCACTTGCATGATTTACCAGCATTTGGCTGGTAAATGGTGTTAATGGTAGATATCTCTTTTGGAACAGGTCATGTTTTAATATCACCAGTTCAGTATATTTCAGATAATATTGCAGCAATAGTTTTTTAGTTGCAAATGGCACAGAACAAATGTTAACTTTTAAGTACTTTTAACACAGTTTCCCTGCGGGGGATTAATAAAGTATTTGTGATACTGATTTCTGATTCTGAAGTGTTTTGCTTAGTTGTTTGCATTTAGCTAAACTGTGATGTTTTTCCTCATATTGCATTGCAATAGCCTGTTTAAAGTGATCATATAACAAACAACTAATCAGTACTGATACTGTATGCTAATAGATATAGGAGTGATAATAATACAGTAAATGCTTTGAATGTCTTAGATATAGCTGTGCAGTATTCTTAACAGACTGGATAGCAGCAGACAATAGAAGGCTTATTACAACCAGAAGAGACATGAGACTTTTATGTTTTAGAGACTTGAGACTTGACTTGGACTCGTAACCAAAGACTTGAGACTTGATCAAGTCTCACCCCACAAAGACTTGAGACTTGACTTGGACTCGTGACCAAAGACTTGAGACTTGACTTGGACTTGCAAAAAAAGACTTGAGACATAATAAAACATGTTATTGATAATATAATACGAAATGTAGCATCCAGTGTTTTTGGAGCTTAACTCTTTTAGCATTAAATAAAATAGCAGAAATATTAATTTTAGCCAATATTAGGTCGGCTCAGTAAATAACCTGTCACTGGTTGTCCCTGAAAGATGGCTGACTTTGGCATCACCAGCTCCAGTTGCTAGACAGCGTCAACCGCAGGGGGGACTAGTTAGCCGCTAGCACACATAGCTACATTACACATTAGACGTGTGTTGTCGTGTTTGGCCGTGTAGGAGAGTGATCGTGGGGTCTTTACTTGTATGTCAGTCCGTCTCCTCCGTTGAACAGTTGCGTTCCCGACAGCCCGTCGTCGGGGATGTAACCGGTCTGCCCGCTGATCAGGTAGTCCGCCATGACGTCCAAATACACTCTCACCAGTTCTTTAGAGTTAAAATAGTAAGAAAGTCAACTTATGAAGCTGCTACAGTAACTAGCGGGTAGACAACAACACACAGGCCCGGGAACAGAGACCGATAACTTTCTTCCTTCGTCCCGGTGTGTTGTTCTGCTTCTCCGTCCGTTAACGGGTCAGTGTCGTCCTGCTTCACGCTCCTCTGAGCTCTGTGCTGTCGTCTGGCTGTGTGTTAACGGTGAAGAAGTGAGCAGAAAATGTCAGCATGAAAGCTTTTGTGTCCTCTCTCGGGCCTCTCTGCCAGCCGGAGCTGAGCGCTCATGTTCCTTCTGCAGCACCCTCAAACACGTGCAGTATTCCGACCTGACAGCGTTTCCGACACCGACGTCACATCCGGCCGACCCCCCCCCCCTCATTTTTCAGTTTGAACAATATGACACCCTGAAAAACAGAAAACCTGCAAAAAACCTTCAACATTTTAAAAGACAGACTATCTAAGGATGCATGTTGTGCTCCCTGGTGTGTTCAAGGTGTCTTTTATTGTTGTTATGGCAATTGTTAAACCTCTTTGTTGTAAGTAAAAGAGAAATAAATATGATATCAGACACAGACATAAACCATATTTTGAAATGTTAAATGATTATCTCGGGAATGTTTCTCATTATTGTTCGATACCAACTCATTATTTTTGAGATACTCATGAATTCTTCCTTTTTCTCATAAAACGACATACATTTTATTTGTTTCTTATTTTTCTGACAGAAATGGGAATATATAAATAAATGCCAGTTAGTTAAAATGTGAAGAAGTAATTCTATTAGTCATATAGGAGGGAGAGACAACGTTGTGGAACATACAGAACATGATATTTGGCTTTAAAAAACAATGGCCAAGAAGACGTATTATAGTAGCAATACCACGGTCTGAATCCTGCATCAAAATATACGCTCAGTATAAAAAGTAAAAGTATCCATTATGCTGAATTGTTCATTCCACACTCAAGTTCAGGAATAAACACTTGAGGGTGCAATCCTCCCCATACTCCATTTCGCTGTGTGAAGGTAAAACTGGGTCACACACTCAAGTTCAGGCAAAGTAGTGCAGCAGTTAATATGGAACTATAAACATATTAAAATAAATGGAACTACTACAAGGAACCCTGTTAATTATGTGCAGTTATTTCACAACTTTTATTAAATACACCTTGAAAAAATTACTTCAATGGTGGATACGGCCATGCCTGTAGCCAGAGTGATTACCATTCCGCTATTGCCTGTAGATTTAGCATTTCTTTAACCATCAAATACACACAAGCACTTTTTCCCAATCCCGTCAGGTTTGTAGCAATTTTGTTTAAAAAAAAAAATCAAGAATGTAGATGTTTCCATTTGCTTAAATCAAATTATTGCACTGTTACTTTTTTATTCTATTTTGTAGCTGTTTCATTATATTTTAGCATGTTTATTTTATATTCTCTTGGCTTGTTATTGATAGTTTTAAATTGTATTTAAATGTAATTCACTTCTATCAACTTTAAAGTTAAATTCAATGAGATCTTTCAGTTTGTCTGTGTGTGTGCATGTAATGACCACACAAGAGACAGGGTCTGGTTTTAAAAACTCTCAGTAACTCTATTTCTGTATTAATGTACAACCGTTGAAAACTACAACAATTTCTTTGTATTTTTTTCTTTTCCAACTAACAGCCATTTTCCAGAAGATAAGTGAACAATGTGAGTAAGAAGAAAGGAGAAAACAAAGAGCAACATAAACTGGGTATGAATGTAAAGAGAAGCACAAGATGGGGAGGAAGGAGGAAACAACAATAACTGTTAATGTTTATTTTCTGTAAATGACTGTTTGAGCATGTGTTAATGCGTGCTAATAATGCTCCGACTATGATGGCAGGTGGGTCCTGTCGTGTGTATGAATGGATTAGATTACCCTTAACTTCATAATCTGATCAGTGGAGGTGCAAGTGTTAGGTTTAACGAGGTCTGGCTCACACTGGTTTGGATATACGCTAGCTGAACACAAAGCAACAGAATCAGTACAACAGCATAAAGAGACACAAATGGGTTTTAGTTATTTAGTAGTTTCACTTTGACCATAACAACTTGCAACTATCTGCTAGCAGTAAGATCTGTAGTACGTCAGGTTATAAACTATAAATCAAACCAAAGGGGGAAGGACGATGCGTTTATTGCGAAAGATTGGTAACAAAATCAATTATTTAAACAAACATTATTCTTATGCTTTAGTACTTTGTTTTCATGAACATGCATCATATGTAGGAAAATACTGGTATCTGTTAATTATCAGGAGTATGTGAGGTCAACAGTAAACACACCATGTACAGGGATGATGTCAGAATATGTATTATGTTGTATATTATCGTCCTGGTTGGTAATAAAGTTTGCTCAAAGCCAAAGCAGTGACAGTGGCACTTTCCATCTAGAAGGATCACACTTCACTAGTTGAGAGCTTCATTCATTAAACTTTCTAGAAATACTACGTCATAATCAATTTATTTCTAATTTATGTCATTTAACCTTTTGCAGCTTTGGAGAGTCAACTGAAGAAAAAAAAAATGTGTTCAGGGGAATCCAGTTAGTACTACAACTGCCAGCCCTTTGTCATTATGGTCTATGTGAAACCACGGAAAACAGATCCATTATCATCACTGTCTCCTTAAAGAAAAAGTTGTCCACTACCCACATCTTCTTTGCCTGCTTAACACATTTTTTTCATCATTTTACATATTCTGTAATATTTGTTCCAGCATCATAGGAAAAATGTTGTTGCTTCTGACCTCAACAATTTGACCTTCATCATCAGATCTGTAAAGACCATCAAAGTGTAACCATGGTGAACATGATGCTCTGTAGCCGAAACATGTACATAAGGTGAGCATGATGAGGAAAAGGGAGATACAATCGTGCCATTCTGTGACCCTGCAGCATTTTGGGAGTGACAGGAGCGAAAGACAGAAGGAAAGAATCAAATGAGTGAGTGTAGAGGAGCAGAAGGGGGTGGGGTAAGTATGATTGCACCGAGGGATGGTCATGAGAGGAAGCAAAGGTAGAAAGCAGGGAGGGGAGTTAGGAGGGAGATGCTGGTGCTTTGCAGTGGCGAGGGATGTTCAGGTGTCATGGAAATCCTTCAGCAGCGTGCGTCGCTTCTGCTCAGCAATGTGCATCTGATTCTCCAGATCCTGAAATAAAAACAGAACGGTATTATTCTTAAGGCATTAACAGGGGCAGGCGGTCTCTTAGTCATAGGGGCTTGGCCTGGGAACTGGATGGTCACTGGTTCAAGACAAGCAATGACGGAACAAGTTAGAGAATTTCACCTTTAGCTTTATACCTGGCTGCTCTTTCTTCAAAACAGATGTGTATTTTGTAAATTGTGTATTTTTTAAAATCTTTAATATTATTTGTATGCATGCTTCTTAGTCAATATTAAGAAGCTCTTTTCTTGCTATAACAAATGCAAATGTCCCCTCTTTGGGACGAATAAATGTATTCTGATATAACAGAGAAAAATAAATGTTCCCTAAAGTATGTATTCCTCTTCTTCAAAATGAGGACCAAAAGCTAATTAAATGCAATCACCCTTGTATTTGCGACCATTTATTTATTTATTTTTTAAATGTGTGCAAGTCCATTTTAAGCATGTGCATTCCTGCGGGTGCATAATTAATTATTGTAATTGCCCCCTACCCACGCTCCATCATGCCCCCTACATGGCGGCGATTGTGAAACAATCGGTGCAGCTGTTACCTACATGAGTAAACAATATAATCCTAATGGAGACATGAATGGTTGTATCAAATATCACACTGATCCGTATTGAAGCTCTCACCCCTCTGTCGCTGGCGCAGAGCTCTCCCTCTCCTACCACCACCGGCCTCTCGGAGCTGTCGGCCCGCTCCACCTTCCACGACAGGTTTTCTATCTCTGCTTCCAGCTGGGCCTGCTGGTACTCAAACTGCAGAGAGGGACAGCAATCACCATTAATATAGTCACAATAGGCACGTTCACACCGCAGTACGTTTCCCACTTTAGTTCCGATATAGTTCCAAAATGTCGCGTTCACACCAAAAACAGCCGGAACTTAAATTAGTTCATGAGAACCTTTTTACCCCCTTTTCCGTCAGTTTTCCGTCCCTGCTAGAGAGCAGGTACTTTCGTGGGAGAAAAAGGTTCCTATGTCTGATTGGCTGGGTGGATTGCAAACCACGCCCCGTAAAACTCCCAAAAAGTTTTGTGAAGCCGCCATTTTATTATCCTCGCATTAGCATTAGCTCAGCGCAGAAACGCAGAGAGACTAACTTATGGCAACACAAAAGAAAACATGGGAGCGGTGGAGATGAGGAGGTGTCGGCGTTCTGGCGATTTACTCGGAAGGCTTCAGTAGAAGCTTCTACTGAAGCCAGTCCCCAACTCCGGGGACTTCCAGTCGGGGACTTTGGGCGGCAGTATACGCCGTGAAGTTGTTTGCGGCCTGCCAGTAAACCCAAAGCAGAAGAAGAAGAAGTGACGTCAGCAGCTTCATTTGCCTAATCCTCCCTCAGGAACTTATTCCGGTGTGAACGCGATCTGTACTTAGTTCATGAGAACTAAAGAGTTCTGATGAACTAAGTTATGATGAACCTTTGAGGGAAAAGTACTGCGGTGTGAATGCGCCTAATGTTATTTTACAATGTGTGTTCTGCAGTAATGAACAGGGTGGAGAGATATTGTTCCTCACCAGTTTCTTGCTCCGGCCGGACTCCATGTAATAGGCGTAGGGATACGTGTACTGCAGGGTGTAGCGGCACTGCAAAAGAGAAGAAGCAAAGTTTGGGAAATGTTCACTTAAAGTCAGACTGTGTCAGAATAAAGGAAGGCACCTTGTAATTGATTGAAATGATCTTTAATGATGATGCTAGAAACTTTTAAAATCATCCAATGAGGAAAACAGAAAGTGAATCAGGTCACTTGTGTTTTTTTCCAGACCATTTAACAACATAAACCAAGCTAAATAAACACTGTTTGAGTTACAAGTCTGAATTGATGACTGTAAGCAGCTTAACCATTTCTAAATACATTTAAACAAACTTGCCAGGTATAATATTTACAAAGTTACTTTATAGTTCAATTTTATGCAGATTACTTTTTTTTTGTATCTCTTTCCCTTCCATCACTAACTGTGATGCTGCCTCTGCATTGAGAACAGACAGTGCAGGTTCAGTGTGCAGTACCTTAGCCAGGAGCTTTGCAGCGTTATGCAGGTACTGCCAGTCGATCCAGGTTCCCAGGTTGTTCATCACTCTCTCCTGGATCTTCTCCTGGATCCTCTGGTACGTCTGAGCCTCCAACTGCAAAGACTTGTTGTGATTCTCCCACTGGTGGGGTAGAGATAACAACAGAACAATTATTTCCCCTGTAGAAATAAAAAGGTATGCTGGATGTCTGTCTGTTGATAAAATGTTTTGGTTAAATCTTTAAACAGTGTGCTGTGATATTATAATTATGAGAATGGCTATGGGCAGTGGAGGATGAAATCTGTCATGATGTAATCTTCCTCAAATCCCAAAATGTAAATGTTAAGCAGCTTTATGAGGCTTTGAATCCAACCCAACTCTACGGGTTTGATTCTGTAAACCCCTATAGTTTATCCCAAAGTGTTTTTAAATTTCGATTTAGTTTTTTCTCTCGAGCTAAATAGAAAAAGCTCACCCTCTCAAAGTAGAAGAGGTATTTCTTGAGGGCCTCTCTGGCCTGAGCCTGCTGGCTCTGGTTGACTATGTCAGGGTTCTCTTTGTAGCGGCTGCACTCGTAGTATTCACTGCCGTGAGTCTTCCAGTCACCAAGACACATCCAGCAGAAGTCTTTGAGGCGAGACAAAATACACATTTATGGACATGCATTTCACAGCATGTACACTAAGTCAACATTTGTATCATAGAACAGACTAAAGGGTCAACTCTGTTCCGCTAAACTGGATAATATTGGCTGTGGATTGGTGATAAATATATGTTCCATTTCTTCAGATGACTAACCACCGTTCTGTTCAACCACATTCCTCATTTAAAAAAGGGATACCATTTTACTAACTAACTGGTGAGTTATGGGAGTTATAGGTGTACTGGTAGATGCAATTAGAAAACGTTAACTACTATATAACTCCCTTAGGACTGTTGCCTGCCAACATTAGCCAAAGATAACAAAGCAAAAAACAAGATCTACAAGCATCAACTTTCACTAGGAATAATTCAACCTTTATTCAATATCATCTTGGAATCATAGCTGCTGCTACTTTCTGTGTTTCCACCAGTAGGTGGATATAAAGGAACAGTGCGTTAATGCTTCACTGGATTATCAAAAAACGTACCGTGTTTGCACTTGGAGCATTGCTGAAAAACAAAGAGAGACAGCGAATTACTATTTTCAATTATTTCGGGCAGATCGACACATAAACCTTTTTTTAAAAACAAAGGATTTAGTGTTTGTTGTTACTGCTTTGTCATCCATAAAGCTTAGACATTGTTAGAGAAAAGGCCCACATGCCAGGTAACAAATCGGACCAGCAGTGACTTAAGTGTGAAACTATTCAACTTGAGAACTTCAGCCCGCAGAAAGGATCTTTTGCATTTCCTGTTTCAGGGAAGGGTGATTTTCATCTCTGACTCACCATGTGATTGCACCCTCCGTTCTTCTCAATGCAGATATTGCACTTAGGACACTAGAGGAGAAAAACACATACAAATAAGATCAAATCAGGGTAAAAAGGCAGATTACAGCAAATTACAGATAATCAGTGAAATGTCTTTTTATGTGTCCTCAAACTGTGTCAGTGTTCAACCTGAGCAGCCGTGTACAAAACTACAGTGTGTAGTGTGCAAGTATGTTGACACAGCAGTGTATGTGCATGACTGTAAGAGTGTGTAAACGTAAAGCTCCATCTTACATCTTTAGTGTGAGCGCTGATATAGTTAGCCGTCTCCGAGTCATCTGCACATTTGGTCAGCCACTTCCGGACTGTGGCGCAGTCTGTGGGAGCGTGGTACATCTGACGGCATTTGAAACTGACAGAGAAAACACATTTGAAAATGAGAAAATGCTAAATTCTTAAATGATTCAGAAATCAGATAATATGTTGGTAATGTTCAGTTAGGAGGATATGTATATTGCTGTATTATTATGTATGTATTGCTACTTGTGCAAAACATGTATTTTGTTCATTTTTTAAAAACCATTTTCTAAAATTGTGTTTGAATTATATTGAGTTTGTCTTTTTGCAGAGAAGATTACGTTATGTTGTATGTGCAGGAAGGTGTTTGTGGAAAGTGGTCCAATCCAATAAACACAATATAAAAAGGTAATTTCTTTAAGTTATGGTAAAACACAGGTCACTATCAGAGCTAAGTTAATAAGTAAACTTAGATCACTTCTTATACACAACCAGCTGTGTGACCATCACTCAAAAGGACTTCTTTCTTTCAACTCCTATTCATTCGTTTTTATCTACGGCTTGGATCTGATTTCCTTTTTCTTGAACTTGCTCCAAGAATGTGACTTATCCTTGGACTGGATGAGACTGCACAGGATATTAAAGGGAAAGAGACCGCACATGAAGCTTTAGGATAACAAATGACATTCAGAGTCATTAAGTTAATGAATACAACCATTCCAAAGTAAAACATAAAGCTGACTGCAGTCACACGGAAGCTAAATTAACTACTGTAGTTTCTTGTGAAAATCTTATGCCCCGACCACACGAGGACGAAAACGGCTAAACGCATAGGATTACCGCAAACGCAAAAAAGCTTCCGTCCACACGCAATAGTCATCCGGATAGTGTCTTCCCACACGAGACCGCTCCGTTTAGCTCCAACCGCTGGAGAAGCTGCAGTACATGCAGGAGCCTGTACGTGGCGCTGTAACTTCCTCCACAAAAGCAGCGAAGAAGCATGGTTGTCATGGTTGCCCTTCTGTTTATTCTCCGCGGTGGGGGCCGAGGGAACCGGGCAGAGTTTTTCGCCCGTCAACGTGTATTAAAGTTTAAATCTTCCGACAAAATTATAAAAGTGCCGGTCAAAGATCTTCTTTGTTATTTATTGAGCTTTAAAACAAATGAATAACGAATCTATATATTATAATAATAAAATACACGGAGCCTCTCTTTTTCCTCCCTCTCTTCGGACAGCGCCAGTGTCTGTTTCATGCAGCAGCTGATCCAGTAATGAGTGACCCGGCCGACAGTCAAAATAAACATATTTATAACTAGTTTAGGTAGTTTGAGAGGTGTCTCCGTTCTGTCAGATTAGACTTCACTCGCGTTTAGGTCCATATCGAGAGAAAGATAAATAATCTGAATTCAGTGTGCAGTTTACTTTGACGCGGGGGTGAGCAGCAGAGGTGGAGAGGCGGGGCTATTGCCTCATCATTATCAGAAAATGATCGTATAGGGCGTACACACGGAGCCGTTGGACCCCCCAGAGCGTTGCGTATGCCGTTCTATCCACCTTGGGACCCGTTATCGTTTCCGCAGTCGTTTAGTGCCGTATTCGGTCGTCCTCGTGTGGCCGAACGGTCTATATGACACTAAACAGTAACGCAAACGACCGTTTTCGTCCTCGTGTGGCCGGGGCATAAGTGTTGAAGCTGTGCGTGTCCTACCAGAAGACTTCGCTGCAGCGACTGCACTGCACCCTGCGCGCCCGCGGCTCCTGCACCTTGATCACCATGGGACAGTCTGCACCCGGACACAACTGCAACTGGAAGTGACTCTAATGGACAGAAAGAGATACGTAGTGTAAATTAAAAGCAAAACAGGTCAGAAGAAGCAGATGCATCATGATCACAGTTTCCAATCCTGTGATGAGAGTGGCTGGAATTAGCTTTCAATCACCCTTGGTGAGGTGAGTTCACCCGAAAGAAAGTTGGATGTACTGAGAAATTCTTAACCTTGAGTTCTGTTATCCAGAATACAGAGAACTATGTTTCTGGAAATAAGTTTAAATTGTATGTTTTTCTCAATATTATTAGCACAACAAAAATCAGTCAGTTAGACCTGGGTAAACACAACTAAAAGAAAGTATGAAATGGGTGAATTATCCTTTAAAATTACAGTAAAAGTGACTTTAGTTTGCATAAATATATATAGATGGAAAGCCAGCTGGTGATACAGACGGTGAAGAGAGAGAAAACAGCTAGAGAGATGATTCAGATTTAATGCTGTGTCAAGGAGAATCAAAAAGTCTCAAGGGGCTTTCTCTCCCTTATCTCCTTTCCCACATGCCTCTGTGTGTCATTTGCTCTAAATGCAGACCTTGATGCAGCATCTGAGTAAACAGATGCACACAGACGGACACACACACCTCGACGTAGTCTCTGAAGAGGTAGCGTCTGTATTTGTCCTTCAGCTCCTCTCCTGGCAGCAGCGACAGGACGAAGTCTTCTGGCATCTGCAGGGAACATTCCTGAGCCATACACGATATACCTGAACACACACACACAAATACATTATTAAGAGTCCAGAGTATAGTATGAAGTAAAGCGTATACGTAATACGTATAACAGTGCCCTATAAAGGCAACAACTACTGTCTGTGTTGCTGTACTAATGCACCATCAAACTCAATCATCATTTGAACTTGGAGAAAGTCTCTCCGGTTGGGTTTGGTTTCAGCCGGCTGGTTTTCTAGTTACAGTGACCCAGAAACGTAATCAGGTTCATCTGTCATCATAAGCGTGTCCTTGGTACAGCTGATAGAGAAACACTTATCAGACAGGCTCTGAAGGACTCTGTTAGGTGGACTGACTATCGGAGAGCACTGTTAGAACACACAAGAGGTACTGCATACAAATAGGCTACCACTCGCACATACACAAGCACCTGTGGTTCCAAACATTAAACTAAAGGACAGGAAGCCTGGTACATCGTATGGACTTGTACAACACACATCATTTTTTCTACAGTACCACACATACCCAGCAAGGATTACATTCTCCAAGAGCTGAAGCCTACCATGCAGAGAAGGAATCTGATCCTTCCAACATGCAAGACATGGTCAAACTATACACTCCATCACATGCACTTTGCTCTGCATCAGAACCTTCAGGAGAAAGTTGACACAGGCACCCCTGCACAAAGACAAAAGACCTTTTTGCTATCCTGGTTCCAAAAGGGTGGAACGAGCTTACCACTAATATCAGGACAGCAGAAAGTCTACAAATCTTCACTAGGGTTGGGTATCGTTTGAATTTCCACGATTCCGATTCTACTTTCCGATTCTTTGAGGGGCAGGGTAAAAAAATGATACATGCTTCTTCCACCAAAAAGATTACATTTATTCGAGAAACTTTTACACAGGTTAGTTTACAGTAATATTCACATTAATCAGTCTGTTTATATTCACTGCTATGTAACTGTAACCTGAGAACTAAGGCTGTGCAATTAATCGTATTTTAATCGCGATTACGATTATGGCTTGCGACGATTATGAAAACGGCATAATTGACAAAATACGATTATTTTGCTGGGTGCGCTTTCGCCCCTCCCTAAAAGCCCACTCGGCCACGTGGGAGTGACATGTGTTGTGAGTGTTCAGCGTGAGCGAAGATGTCAGATCAAGAGCAGCAACTCGTTAAAAAGAAGGGTACAACTATTTCCACTATTTGGAAGTACTTTGGCTTTCAGGAGTCCGACGTGGAGCAAAACAAAGTACAGTGCAGGATTTGTTACCAGGTTGTGTTGGCACCACACGCTAACACAACCAATCTCTTTAATCGTCTGAAATACAACCACAAAGTGCAATACGACCGGGCAGTAATACACCAAAAAGCAGATGCCGCTCGACTTCATCCATCACATCATCACAGTCATCGATTCAGGACGCATTGTAGAGCAACGGCCTACGCGACGAGCTCGCAGAGACACAGAGATATTACAGGTGCCATTACATTTCACATCGCGAAAGATATGTGCCCAGTTAGCACTGTTAGCAACCAGGGCTTTAAGCAACTTGTCAACACGTTGGACAAACGTTACGGGATGCCGTCTCGGTATTATTTCAGCAGGTCTGCGCTGCCTGCACTATATGACAAATGCCGTGGGGAAGTTGAGAGAGATGTGGCTTCAGCTGACTACTTTGCTACCACAACAGACCTATGGTCTAGCCCAGGGGTGCCCAACCAGTCGATCGCGAGATGTGTCTAAAAATAGAACAACAATATTCTGTTTTATCGTTAATGTCCTGTAACATAATCTTCCTGTGCCAGAATAATGCACTTGAACGCATCAAAGCTTTGTGATTGGCCGGCGTCACCCCATGTGTCGGGGCGTGGCTGAGGGTCTTCAGTACAGGTGGCAATATCGTCACCTGCCTGCGCTCATCTCTGAAACCAGACCATGTAAACAGGCTGGTGTTTCTTGCAAAACATCTTTAAGAGATGACATGAGCAGTCCTACCAGCATTTGCCATGGTGGCCTAAACATTTTTATTTGGTCTTAAATTGTAGTTCAACATTTATTTCCTGTTACTTCTGGACCATGACGGTTGGCCAGCCTTCAACGTTTAACTGAGTGGAATATGTTGAATATGTTTTACCAAAATGTTGGCTATATGTTAAGGAGTGTTCAGTAGGTTGTGACAGTGCACTGCAACATGTTTGATTTAATTTAGGTCTAATTTATTTTTATTTATCATATTAATAATATATGTTTAGTATGGTTTTGGAAGTGCGCTCCAACATATTTGTTGATCTTGTTTATTGGTAAAATATTATTTGTTTTAAAGTTCAATAAATGGTCAATGAATAATCGTCAAAATAATCGTAATATCAATTATTGACCCAAATAATCGTGATTATGATTTTTGCCATAATCGCACAGCCCTACTGAGAACCACTGAAGCTACAACAGTGCAACAGTCCAACTTTGAGGAAACAAAGGAAACCCCTCCCTCCCATTTAAAAACAGTTCTTGTTGAGAAAATACCGGGAAGAAATGTTTGAACATTTTAAAGTAAAATGCTTCAATCTGGTGCACTTTAAGCAGAATTACTAGAGACTAGATCTAGGAGGTACAACTCTAAACACCCATATGAAAAAGATTGGTTTACATTTTAATAATCAAATAAGTATGTGAACATAACCAATAACCTACCATAGCCAATAACAAATACATGTAACGTATTTTATTTTTGTTGTTCATTCATATCTTATTTTACTATTTTATTAATGCATATTTCTTTTATCTCTCCAGTTTAAAACGATATGTCTGGTTTACTGTCCTATAGTATACATTGGAATGATTTCAAACCTGTTTTATCCCAATAATTATAAAGGAGTGCCTTGGAAATATGTGTTTACATAAATTGTGATCAAAACGTTTGAGACCCACTGAGATAACTTAGACTAAAGTGAACTATCTAAACACTCAGAGTCCTTTACCTCACTGAGCTGTAGTTATCAGCCTCTCAGTCTGACTGGAGAGGACTCTCCCTCCACATTATTGTAGACACATCTTCTTCTAATATCCGTTAGAGCAGCTAGCACCAGATGCTAATAACAACAGCGCCCTCCCTCTCTCACTCGCACTTTGGCTGTGAGCTGCAGGCGCCAGATAAGCCAACATCCCCCATTTTCATCACTTACAGCGCCCATCGTACAGGGCAAATGAAAAGTGTAACCGGGGTGAAAAGAGTGTTACATTTACTTAATTATGAATGTTGTTACATCAAGGCCGAAAATTAGGATGAGCACCAACGGTCAGAAAAAAAAATGTCCTCCCAGAGCTGTCAGCGCAGCGCCTCCACAGATCTGGCGCCCTAGGCGAACATCTATAACGCCAGTGCGACGGGCCGGCCCTGGTCCCAGGTTACGCTGTAGGAAGTGTAGGTACAACGCTACATTTCCCGCCCCGCCGCAGTCATACAGTAGGCTACGGAGAGCGGCGAGAAACATTTCCTCAGGCATCGAAAAGCGGAACCGAAATACACATTTCTCAATGATGCCGTTGGAATCGAAATGTTGGAACCGGTTCCGAACCGGAACCGGTTCTCGGTACCCAACCCTACTCGCAAACTGTAAATCCAACTATTTCTCTTCTACCATTTCTCTTGTAAATACTGTGTGAGTATTTCATTACGGAATTATCTTTTTTGACTTTATCCTGCAACCGGATGACTAACAAACAAAAGAAGCACTTGAGTTCAACTTGATAACAGCCTGGCTTGTTTGAAGTGAATATAACAGTTTATTGTTGTTCTTATTTGAATAGTGATGGATTATTGCACTTATTGTAAACCGCTTTGGATAAAAGCGTCAGCTAAATGCAATGTAAAAGAGGAAGACTCATTCCCATAAGTGTCCCGTCTGCTCCTAAATGACAAAGGAAGATGAAGAAGGCATACCATGACGAAAGAACAACAAGTTAAAGATGGCAACAAGTGCAGCTCCAGCATCACCTCAGCTATTGTTTTGTTTGTGTTCAGTACATTCAATATCGAAAGTGATGTTATTTCACTGGTATAGGCAACAACTAATACAAATCTTTGGCTGCGTCACTTCAATATGCCGTACAAAACGTATAATTGATCCGTGTACACTCCCACACTCCCATCTGCTCTCCTGCTGACACAGGCACACGTTCTCCCAGATAGATACACATGCACTCATAATCATAGGTGGGAGGTAAGCCTGCCAGGTACATCTTACACCACATGGGAGTCATTCAATCCTCATATTACACCTCTCACCTTCAAAGCCCTATGGCACAATTGGATTGCGAACAGAGACGCGTAAACAAATATAGACCCGTGCACAAACATCCAAGTGTCTCTGTCATTAAAAACGGTATCATTGAGTGACTGATACAGCCCCCCCCCCCACCTAAATACCATACTGCAACACCTGCTGCTCTGGCAGTAAAGCATAGCCCAAAATAAACATCCAAAGGAATCAGAGGCTGACTGTGATGAAACCCAGAGTGGAAAAACACACAGCAACACATAAACAGGCACTTGGGAGCTCACGTCAAACAAAGTGTGACTCACCCACTCTAACCAGCTTTGATGACTACACAGACACACACAAACACACTCTGCTCACCCACTCCCAGGCCATCTTTGACCAGGACAGTGCAGTACTGTTCCCAGCATCCTTGGCAGAAGGAGTGCTGGCAGGGCAGAGCCAGCAGGGCGTCTCTCCGTACGACCTGTAGACACACACCGCACTGGAGGGACTGGGTGGGCTGAAACACACAAACACAGAAAGCATGAACACGCCGTCAGACACACGCTGATCCGGAGAGAGTAAGAAAACACAGGGTTTCTATTTTCATAAAGTAAATTAACTCATCCTTAGAACATAAAATATAATAAAGAAATGCATTGGTAACATAAGAGCAATATATTGGTCCTATTTTCATCTCATGTCAACAAAGTGAAATATACATCAACAAACACGATAAACTGATTTAACTCCTACGGAATTCTTTCTGGTAAAACTAAATATTAATTTCATGTTTAAACTACTTATTTGACCAACAGTGAACAAAGTCATTAGGAATTGTACTTCTTTATTATGGCTATTAAACAATGTTTAACAATGTATGTGCACGCGCAGAAAGCTGTTACTAAGTTATTCTTAGCTTGGTCCCTATATATAAAAAGGATATACAACATCTGAATAAGAATGTATAATCAGAGCTGGTGAATAATATTTGGGCTCATTATTTGCTCACAGTGACTGTTCTGGAGGTGCTGCTGGGCTGGACCAGAGCGTCCGACATCAGCAGAGACGAGTTGGACTTGTATCTGTGGAGAACATGGAGAGAACCAAGGATGAGAGACTGAGAAATATAAGACTGCTGCACAAAGGAAATAGTAAGGTTGAGAAAGCAAGGACAAGGAGGCAAAGGAGAAAAGAAAGAGAAAGAATTGTTAGACCAAACATTTTAAAAAGTGAAGACAGGGAGGAAGAATTCAAAAAGTGGTGATGAAACAGAAAGATTGCAATAATTCAAATTAAAAAAGGCAGGATTGTGATGCAGCAGGAGAGACATACCTGTCCAGTATTTGTGTAAAGTGCCAGTGCAAATGCACCAGGACCAGTTTTGCTACCGCTGGTACAACCTGAGAGAGAAGGAGACAAACAGAGATCGCTGAAATGTTGCTCCTCTGACACCCGAGTGACTTGGCTGTTGAAAGTCAGCTAATCAGTGAAGACACAGTTCCCAAATCCAAGACTTGCCTATTTTCACTTTAATACAATAAGCCGACTCTTTTTCCTTTAGCAGAAAAAAACGCTTAGTGATTGTAACACTGCTGTAAAGATTATACAAATAAAAAGAGTCAGGAGTCAATGAATCAAAGTCATAAACACATTGTTCTAGAATTGTTTTGTATTCTATAAACACAAAACACAGCTGCTCCTCTGGGAACAGAATACTGTAGTTGCTGTGCAGCTCCTATGTGCATAGTGACTCATTATACAAGTGTGGAGTAAGGTGTTTACTGCAGGACAGCATGTAGACTCAGCAGAGGAACCCTGAACCAATAGAGTTTCCAAACCAGACATTCTACACAATCTTTGGAAGCACAAAGATACCGATAAAACTAATGATGAATCCGCGCTATTCATTTTGTCCCATGGCAGCGTGGCGATGAGCCATCAAGCACAAGCACTCTGACCGTGAAGAAGCTCAGTTCAATTGCAGAATCACACAAGCTCACCTTCAGTGCAGCAGCCACAGTGTTCACCTCCTCTAACAGCACCCTCTGACTCTCCTTGTAGGTCAGACAGGTGAACAGGTACTCCTCGGGGTCAAAGGAGTCAGCGCCCTGCTGCTCCACATCGTTGGACACGCCGATATAGTAGTCCTCAATGTCGGCCTGATCATCATCGTCTCCTCCATCGTCATCATCATCTCCCTCGTCTTCAAAGTTCTCCCCAAAGTCTTCCTCATTGCTGTCCGATGCCTGGCTGTTCATGTCCACAGACATCCAATCGATTGGATCAGCCACCCGGACAGGTAGACAGCTCGCCTACCTGTCGGTGGTTCGAGTGGCTTAAATGACTTGTTTAAAGCTCCACGTCGGTTCTTCTCCTTGCGTGCTGTTCAAGCTGCTTGCCTCACTGTTTAGAAACACTTCCCGTCTGCCCGAGGCGCGTAGAGAGTTCGCTCAGCAGCAACGGAAGAAGCAGAAGCAGTCACACTCCCCGTTACTCATTTGGAAAGCTGGCTACAAAGCGATCTGAGGAGGAAAAAAAGATTGAGAAATAAGTGAAGTACAAACAGATGTTGAGAAGGGTGCGGTGTAATTGAGGAAACTGTGGGGGTATAAAGAGACAAATATTATTAGTGGTCAAAGTTGTTGATAGCTCACTCGTACATTGTTACTGAAAGGTAGTTTAGTAGCTTGTGATTTATAATATTCATTTCTACATATGGATGAAAACGCTAGTTTACTGACCAAAGAACAGAAGCAGGCTATCAAGTGTTCACGTTGGAATTATTTCTCCCTTTCAACAAGGCTAGTCACTAAGCCTGGAGTGTTTCTAATTTTACAACAACAATATATTTATTCTAGTGAACACAGCTTTGCCAGTGGGGCTCAGAACCCACCTGCCACTGTGAAGAGTGACGACATCTGTTTTTCTTTTGTCCCTTGAATTTGCAAAATCATATATGTATGGATGACTAAAATTGGACACTTGGAAATATAATTTGTTTGTATATAAAATATTCTGCTTCTGGGATACACATGCTAGCAGCCAGTTGTTGCTAAACGTTTGGCTGCGCTTGCTTAATCTGTGTCTGCAGTTGATCTTTTAGTACAGATGATCAGAATCGGCTTTATTTGCCAAGCTTGTGTGGAAATACAAGGAATTTGATTATGTTTAAATTGCTCTCGGTTTACCAATACAGTTCCAAAACAATGTACAGTAAGAAGAATACAGATTACAATGAATTAGCTTCAAGATTTTGTTTATTTAGACCGTGCCTCTGTTCAGTTAGACTAGAAGATGAGACAGACATTATCTCAAAGACATGAGCTGGTACTGGACTCGGTCCAAGGTCTGCAGCCTGTACAGCCAATCTGATCTCAGCTACACAGCCTACTCACCAATGAATTGCTGCTCTTCTAGGCAATAGGCAATGAACAATGGGATTTATTACTCACTTCCAAACATTGACATTTTTCCAGAGTGCATCTGTGGTCTTATTATTCTTAAGCAGGCCTGCCTCTGTCCTTCTACACTTTAGAACCGCTAAACACGTGTGCAACCCAAGGCATGGGTTAATGCTTTTAAACAAGATTAGCTGAAGATGCCTTAACCTTATGAATGACGGGACACAGACACACCTTGTATATAGTTAACATTTTACACATGCATGCAAGCATACAACAGTGGAGCAATAATTAATTGCTGGATTGATAGACATTTTGGTAAATTGTAGAAAAACACATCTTTACATTTCTAAAATCCAAAATGTCCTGATTTAGGGGATCCTTTTCCCCTTAAATGACTTCCAAAATATTTTAGTATGCAAGTTGAATATGACCAAAACACTGAACATCCTCTTTGTACCTGGACATGGGATTTTACATGCCTGAAGCAAATATATGATACTGCCTTCTTTAACCCTTATATTACCCAGCCCAATAATATTCCTCTGAATGCAAGACTACATTGTGAAAAGTAAATTCCCTAGGCTTGCAAATCGTAGTTCCTTGTCCAATTGGGGTTTCCCTTACGCACAGATTTACAACTCGGCTATTGTTTTGTTTGAATGTGGATGGGTAGCTTCTCTATTCTCCTTGCCAACACTTGCCTTCGCACCATGTGTCACGAGCTAAAGAAGCCCAATAACGTTGAACGGGAACAATATTCCGAATATGATTCAAACTTTGCACCACATATAATTCCGATATGCAATTTGTATGCACTAAATGTATAAAGAGACACCGGGTCAATGCCGTTTGCTGATAAGGGCGATAATATGTGACGTCGCAAATATCCACCTGGCTAAAGAAACAAACAAGCCGGGAGAGCCTGCCAGGCGGCCCTGTCCCGTGGCGCGCCGGGCGAGAGACGGGTGTTCGCATTCTGCCCAGTCGGGGCTAAAAATAGGCACCAACTGGGTGACACACATCTCGCTAGGCTAATGTATCACAGCGACTCAGCACAGGTTTTGATAACAAGTATTGGGGGATGGGAAGTGAGCGGTGCGAGCAGCGATAACGCAACATTAACAATATGTATTTGTTTTTTTGTTTGACCAGGGCATTTCGGTGGTGTGCCTTCATTGCAGATATTAAAACCTGGCACTGAAATCCTCAAACAGGATGGTCAATTGACCGTTAGCCGGGTTAGCTTCCTGGCTAGCGTGCTTCAGTTTATTCAGCAGCAACGTAACGGCATGCCAAACCCACGAGTTTGACGAGTTAAATTGTTGTGTACTTTCAGAGCAGACCAGGGGAAAACTTTCTAGGGAAAAAAGTTCGTTTTGTTCTTTAATTTATAACATAATAGCTATCCCGGTTAGCTACCCCTTTATCTCCCGCTGTTCCGTCGCCGCCTCTCGCCCACTCTAGACCGGGGATTTAGATGTAAACAAGGCCCTCTGGAGCTCTGTACTAAACACACACATTTATAAAAGTGCTGCAAACATTTTTATCTGGTTTAAGACGTCAATGTTTACCTCCAGGAGAAGCGTCGGCTCTGCTCGCAATGACAACCAGGGCTGGGTATTGTGTGGGGAAATCCACTATGCGATTTACACTGCGACCGCTGGGCTGGTAACCGGAAGACCACAGAGATACTTATGTACGACGTCACTTCCCCTCCTATAGCAGATTAATGCACTTGTGCTGCTCATTAATACTTTAGCTGCACTACAGGAATGGACCAACATCTTATAACTCTTTGCTAAAACATATATCCATATAATACTCGAATTTAATTAAATATACATTTAACAGCCAGGAATTATTTTATGTTAGGATTATAAAATGTTTGTAATAAATGTATGTCCTTTTCCCCAGTGTACTGTAAGTGTATACCCACCTACATAATACAATACAAGCAATGCAGTATTAGGAATCAGCATTAGGTATGTTTGAAATCTCTCCTCCAATGTCAATTCCCCATGCTACACACATCTTATCATCTTTCATCAGTGTGACCGTTGCCATTTTTTTAACATTTCACTTCATGAAATGACACATGAATCTGATCCCCTTGTATTCTGTCTTTGTAGTATTTTAAGATCTATATATGGTGTATATATAACATGCAGCTAAATCCCAGGTTCTATGGTCACTTTAAAGTTTAGACATTAAAATACCAGCAGCTGCCCTTAGACTTAAACAAATAACTAGACTTAAAAAAAATTACGCAAACACAGATTGATTTCATTTTTGTTGCTTTTGCTTTTTACTGGTGATTTTAACATTTCTTAGAAAAATTACAAAAAACCTTTTTCTATTTATATACAGCCATCATCTGCTGAGGACAACATTGTACAAAGGAAACAAGTGTGAAAGAGATGACTAAGAGGCAGATTCAGGATACAACAGAAACACAGAATCTCTGAGGATGTAGCAGCCAAACAAGACAAGAGAGAAAAAGAGGAAGTACAGAAAGCTTGGTGAGAAATCAAGACCGACTGTGTGAGCTAAGAAATCATTTAACAACTTCTTAACTGCGGTTTTTACAATGTTCATGGATACATCTCAAGATAAATGTTACGTGGTTCATGTGTGTACGGAAGCCATGCAACCAAAACATGGCTGTTCATGCAACTTATGATACCAAATTGTAAATGTACAACAATGGTACAAGTTTCTGTTTTCATTGTATCAGCTTATTCAGAGAACAGTCCAGTGAGCAATGAAACGGTATAAGGTAGCTGAGGCACCAGATGCCAATGGAAATGTTTATTCACCTGTAGTGATTGTAGTGTTGATTTTAGATGCGGTTTTGTGTTAACTTGCAACACAAGCAATCAATTCGGCATATATTGTAAAATGCGCTAAACTGAGGAGAAAAACAGTGCCTACCAGGTTCAACAGCAGCATTGTACTGATCGAGTTTTGGAAAACACCCATTTCATTCTCACAAGAGTGCTGTGAGTATCACGTTGTAAGGACAATTCCCTGTTCCCACATTCATGTTGAGTGAGTGCTTTCCAATGCAACCTCAGAGTACCTTTCTGCACAGAGAACATGCGTAAACTTGTTGGATTTGATATTCACCCACCCTGGCAACTTGGCATGGACAGTATGTATACTAAGCTCTCATATAAAAATCTAAAATACAGTACATGAGTTCAAATTGAAGTATGCACATTGATGGTAAACACAGAATGGGGATTAATGACCGCATTATCATGAATGGAAGAACATCTACCATAGTAAACCATACAAGCAGCCTTTCCTGAGAGAGATGGAATCGAACTTGATTTACTAAACTCAAGTGTAGTTTTTTTTTTACCTCCGACATCACACTTTTTCAAATGGGAACATGTGTTTCTCTTGTCCTTTCTTTTCTCGTTTTGTCTTCGCAGTCCTCTTCAGTCCGCTGATGCTCCCCCCGTCCTCCTCAGCCTGTTTGTTCTGAGGCCAGGACATGGCCAGAGTCTCAGATGCCGTCTTATCTGAAGGACTTCCCCCCTCATCCCCCTCCTCATCTGAAGAAAGCCCGGCGGCCTCCTCCCCTTGAAGAAGACCTTGGTTTAACTTTCCGTAGCGCTGTTTGAGTTTTTCTTTGATCTGGAGCCCCTTCACCAGCAGAATCCAGTTGGAGATCACCCTCTTTTCTTTTTTCTGGAAACAGTAAGGGGAAAACAGTGACGGGGTGTTTTGGTGCTGAACAGGTTTTAAATAACAGATGGCAAAACCATCATAACTGCATGAACAAAGAAAGTGGTTAACCTGTACTCATCAGTCACACTCACCTCTTTCTCCTTCTGTTTCTGAATCTCCTGTTCCTCCGCCCAGGCTGCTCTGAGAATCTCCTCATGCTCCTCACACACAATGTACCCATCAGTGCTGAAACACACATACATAATACAGATCTTCATTCACCTTACATTAATCCTGTTTTCTTAAAAACCTTATACATGTCCTTTCTTTTTTCTTCTTAAGCATGCAACACAAATTAGAGCAAATAAATCAATAAATCTGTTTAGCAGTTTTTACAATAAGTGTATCAAAATAAACAAATGTCATAACACCTTGCTCATTAGGTTACACTTAGCAACTGGTGAAAGGTAAGGCTGTAAAAGGTCATGGAACACGCTTCAAACACTCTGTGTGCCCAGTGCTATGTGAAACTACTTGAAGTAATACTCATTTTGTGTCAAATTGTGAATGTTGAATAACTTATTTTACTATATTGAAAAAAGAAAAAAAAAGATAATAGAGATAATGACCTAGATTCCAGGAAGTAAAAAATCTGTTTTTTCACAAGATAAAACGGTTAAAATCACAAACGATGAACACAGTTAGAATTGATGCAGTGGAGTTGTTAAACCCTGAGACTGAGAATGGAATAAAAACCCTGATATACTCCTGAACTGATCACACCCCCTACTGTCTTGTGTTTTAAGAGGTTCCTCAGTGTTGTCTTACACAGCGTGTGAGTATCCTCCATGAAAATCGAAGCCCGTGACGGCGGGGGCGGCGTCCATCTCCAGCTTCCTCGCCACGCGGTTCAGGTTGGGCAGCCTGAGGTGAACACTGCCCACCGGCAACATACAAGGCTTAAACAGGTAGACGTTACCGTACTCGTTGCGGGGAACCTGAAGGCAACAGACAATATGTAAACAATAGTGCTCATTTGAAATATCTTCGGAAATGACTGATTGTCTTTTTAATGCATGGTCCATTTTATCTGCTGTATATAAATATTTGCTGTTAGAGTAAAAACATTTCTTTACAGTTATCATCCCGGTCCATAAAGGCATTTACCTTCCCATCCACAGCTAAAGGCGGCTGGTATTCTTCAGTCTGCCATTCTCCAAACACAGCCAAGTCCTTTTCCTCTGTCTGCCCGGACGCCATCCTGGCTTTACGGGAACGATTAGAGAAGCCTTTCACCATCTGGAGGAAAGTGAGATGAGTTATACACACTGCCTCTTTATGTACTCAGTTCAATCATCAAAACACAGCAGATGAGTTCCTATAAAGCAATATGTGTACATGCACCATTGTGTCTAATACATGCTTACTGGCTGAAATATTAAATTGCAGACTCACTCAGTTAAGGCTCTTGCTGCCAGCCATTTTGTCTCTTCCATCTTGATATTGATCAAATTAAGGCCAATTTAATAGAATTATTGCTTCCAAGAGTATTCAATGGATTGGCAGCAAAACATAATTTTATCATTCAAAACTGTGATTGATAAGAACTTTGCTTTTTATTTCTTTTTACTTTGTTGAATGCGTTTTGCATGGTTTTACACTCTTTGTTTTTTTATCTTAAAAGTCATTTCATTTCATTTCCATCTTTATTTCGAACAGATTTTTAAAAAAATGTGAAAAACAGAATACCGTATTGTTAAATACAGTATTTATCAATATTCATAATAATATGTATATATTCAACAACAATATTCATAATAATAATAATAAATCATATGTGTCCGAAAGGGAGCAGGAGGAAGCAAATGCTTATTAATTCCCACCCCTTACTTGATCAATGATTGTCCTTTAAATCATTATGCAAGTTATTCCTATACATTTACATTTATACATACATATACAATAATTTCTCATCTTCAATCACCTTTCTTCATTCTCATAGTTTTCCAAAAAAGTGTTTCTGTACATCCTTTTAAACTGAATTATGCTTGTGCTTTGTTTTAACTCCTGCTCCAAACCATTCCATGAAATCACCCCACAGATTGTTAAACTCATACTTCTCAGAGTTGTTCTAACCTTGAGTTGTTTAAAATGTAGATTTCCTCTCAAATTATACCCACCCTCTCTGTCTACGAACAATGTTTTTAATTTCCCCCATATAGTAGATTATGTCTTGCTCTGTACATGATTTGTGCAGTTTTAAATGTAACCAGATCAGTGAACTTCAAAAATAATACATTAGTGTGTTCAAGATATCCAACATTATTGATAACTCTTATAGCCCTTTTTTGTAATGTGCATAATGGCTGTAGGTTGGTTTTGTACATGTTTCCCCAAATCTCCACAGTAACTCAGATATGTCAATATCAGTGTGTTATATAGAGTATACAATGAGTTATAGTCCAGAATGTGTCTGGCTTTCCCCAATATTCGATAGTCTTAGCCAGTTTTGCTTTTACATGATTGATATGAGGTTTCCAGCTGATTTTGTGGTCTAAAACCACACCAAGGAACTTATTTGCATATACTCTTTCTATGTTTATGTTGTCTAGGATTAATTGCACCTGTGGATTTGTTTTATGTTTTCCAAATAACATAATCTTTGTTTTTCTTATATCTAATGATAATTTGTTTGTGTCAAACCAATGTTTTACTTTAATCATTTCTGCTGTTATCACTTCCATTAGCTCTTTATAATTGTCACCGGAACAAAACATATTTGTGTCATCTGCAAATAAAATAAATGTCAATATATTTGATACTCTGCAAATATCGTTGATGTATATGATGAACAGCTTTGGACCCAACACAGACCCCTGAGGTACTCCACAAGTTATGTTCATGTATTCTGATTTATGTTCACCAATGTCAACACATTGTTGTCCGTTGCTTAAATAATCTCTCACCCAGTCTAATCCCACCCCTCTGATGCCATACCTTTCCAGTTTTGT